ATTTCATGATTGAAAAACACAAAAAGGTTTCCTTATCACGTGACAGGATAAGCATTTCCTGGAAAAGTTTATTAAGTTTATAATCTTTAGGAGCTGTTCCTTTATACAAAATTGCACATTCAAATATACCATTCATTGAAAGAACTGGAATTCCTTAGGGATTGTTAAACCCTTACATTGTATGTATGAAAATGGTTTCAATATCCTGTACCTTTGCCATATCTTGAAAATTAAACTGAAAATGTAGTCAGAAATTCAATATTGCTTCCCATATTTTGTTCTAATTGTTGAACAGACACTCCTTACCTTCCCTGACAATGGACCTGGATAGTAATCCAAAAACACTTGTATCCATTATGAAGGATACACCAAGACTGGGCTATTGAGAATCTTACCTGGTTATGATAAGTACTCGCTCACACAGGTACATGTAAAGTATCTGCAGTGTAGGGTAGGTAAAAAGATTGTCCAGGTGAACATTTTTTACTCAACTTTTCTGTTTTTTTCGAGTTGGGAAGCATGCAGTAAGCCAGTTATTGCATGATTTCTCGTCACTCGGGACTTATTACACCCTTGCTTCGCTCGGGTGTAATAAATCCCTTGTTACTCGAAAACCATGCAATAACCTTTACATCCTACACCCCTATGAATGAAAGTGTTATAATTATATACAGAGTAAATACTGTAAACAAATTTGTGCATTGTGCGCACTCTAAAATATTAAAAGAAAAGAAAAAAGAAGAAAAATATGGGGAAAATGTCAAGTTGGACTAATAGCACCAACCAGGTAGGTCACTTTAATGTGATTTGTATAACGCTTGAAAGTCTTTTCTTTGAAAAAGAAACATTTCTGCAACTTAACTGTTTGGAAAACATCAGAGGAGACTCAGACAATATATGCAACCATGCACTCATGATCATGACTGGGTCTACAAAAATTCTGGTACACTGTACATCACATGTCTTTCAGGTTTCCTCATACCAACTCCACTGTTTCCCTGCTATACGTTTATGAGGGTTAAGAACCCGATCCAGTATGTATCAATATATATTACACATACAAAAGCTTTGGTTCAACACCCTAGGACTTTTAAAATAACAATAATTAAATGCTTTAAAAATCTATTATTACCAATATGATGACATTGTAAAACCTAGAACACAGTACAACAAGTTATGTTTCCCCGATATCTACCAGCTGTTACCAGTATTATACATAGTCAGAGCCACAAAAATTCATCAATAACAGATCGAGTCGTTGGTAACAAGTGTAGCCTCAATTATGCACAATTAGCTGTGATTATCATAATCGCCTAACAGTGTAGTCAGCCACTGAAACTCATTAATATTGATACAATGTACTATGTATCATGTATATTAGACCCAGAAACATAACAGGGGTAAAAAGGCTAACTGAAAAATTCTCAAAACGCTATTTCCTTTCGGGCAAAAAAATGAATTATGATGCCCCTTTATCTAAAAGTAAAATTTAGCATATCAGACGAATATTCTAGCATGTATTGACTGTTATCAGTGTGCCATAAGTATAAATGTTACGTAAATCAATTACAATATCAGGTAAAATAAATCACTTTTATTTTTTGGTATGGTTGGCCTTACATCTTCTCAACAGCTACATATAGTCATACACATATCTGAAGATGAAGTTCATGAATGACAGTGCCAAAAGATCAATGGTAAGTTAAAATGTTGTCTCACTGGGATAAGCTGGACACAGTAGTACGACAACAGCTAAGGTCATTTAAGGACATTCACCAAGACAGCTTGGGTTTGATTTCCCAACAGGACGTAAAAAGGTACAGGGTCATCTGCTCGACCATGTGAGTTTATTACGGGTACTCTGGTTTCCTCCCACATTTTCACCTCCTGTGCTAGTATCAGGGTCAGCATAGAGTGATTTAAGTTTAAGTTGGCATAACGTGTTTCATCATTATTGTAATTATCGTAAAATAAAGTCAAGTAGAGGGCAGAAAGAAACAATTTTATTGAATTAGTTTGGTCAGGGGACAGAATTCAAACCCATTAGCCAGGCCATATGCTTCTTTGCATGGGCCATTGCTCAACACCAATATTAAGGCCACTTTCGTTTATCACATTCCAAAAGCATAGACCACTTTGTCCAGTGTTTAATTACTTATGAAACTTAGAGGCACACGTGTCATACATCTAGTGGTTTAAAGTTTTCTAGCCAGCCTTGGCAAAGATTTTCAAGGCAGAAAAAAAACACTTTAAGTGTATCAGGTTTGACCCTGAAATATTACATTTAAAATATAGGAAACTGGTTGGTCCGCCTAAACAAAAAAGCCCCCCTGACCAAAAATGAAGAGTTGCCAAGCTTATTCCGCTAAAAATTGCCTAAAGTTCAATACATAATCCAAAGTCTAACTAAAATGACTGAAATATTAACGGTACATTTTTTTGACAAACAGACTATTTTATTAATGTGACATGTGTGATCATACAGTTCCAGTTAATCATACTTGTATCCACTGTACATGTATGGAAATAGATATATGGTAATTGGTTATCCCAGAAATAACCTGTTCTGGCCGAGATGAAAACAAAAAGAAATGTTACCAGTAACCCACAAATTAGTGACCAAAAACAACTGATGATGGCAGAGTTTTTAGGGATCCCTGTACCACTGTCAAAACTGTAACCAAGTATTGGACACTTTTTCAAGCATGACTATATATAAAGCTTTGATAAATGTCTTCAACAAGAATGTTCTGAGTGTTTAGCGGGGCTAAATGGGAATTCAAACCCTGGACTTCAGATTGTTATACTATATTACTGTGTAACCATTTGGGCTACCTGACCAACGGAAGTGTATACTTCTAGTCCAAGAGTATTACAGTAAATGTTTCATCCAGATGAAAGTTAAGGGGAGGTTGCTGTAAATAACGAGGGGTAGGAAAAACGGCAGAGCATAATTGTGACAAGGATTCTTACATCCTAAACTGCCAAAAGGGTTCTATTGGTACCGGTGCTGCCATGGCCATGCATAGTCCGAATTATTCTGACATTTTATCGACTTTTTTCATATCGGTCTGTCATCGATTAACCGAATCGACGACAGACCGATATGAAAAAAGTCGATAAAACGTCAGAATAATTCGGACTAGGCCATACAGAACACCAATTTCATACAAACTAAGTGTGAAAGTGTAAACGGTCACCATCATTTAGGCAAATTATAGCTGTAGATCTTCACATCTGCTTCACAACTGTCCAGTCATGTCCAGTTCATGGAAGATATTTGTTTCTCTCTGATCATGAGTGTTCATAAAGATTTATTTAAACCAAATGCATGCCAGACCATAATGTCATAATATTGATCTCCAAGTTGCTGCTAATACCTGTTGACATATACTGCCAGACATACTCATGACGTAGCTCCATGAGCTGCCGGATCCCCAATATTCCAGTGATCATTTTGCCTCCCAATGCCAGTTTGATGGCAACATGTCCTTTGATCACCCGATTGTTGAGATTAATGACAACTGCTGGTTTCCCATCATGCCTCAACCAATGCTTTCACTACCTGTTCCAGTCTGGTTCTGGACACCCTGTCACTGTTCTATCACAACATTCCTACTGATTTATGATACATCACTAATGCATTTGATTTCCTTGCAATTGCAATGGATGCCAATTCATTCTTGAATTCGATGGTACCTGCTCAGACCTTTGGACTTTCACTCTGAGGGTTCTCCAAAATTTCCTTCCTATAGGAAATTTAACTGAATTTTACAACTTCTTTCCCAAAGATTCAATCTTTGAATGATATCTTGCCCGATCATTTCATATGGAATTCATTTGGGGAATAAGGTTACCATGTAATGTGTCTGTTCTTGCTGTGCTACTTGGTGATATTGAAACGGAACATCTAAGATGAACATATGACCTTGATATTTCTTGTGACTGCATGATCTACCATTAGGACTGTTTTGTTTGCACAGTGCATATAAGGAAAATAATTATGTCTAAGTTAATTGCAAATATGCAAGAATTGGAGGACAGGCCGGGGCATTTAGAAAGATCGAGGGCTGAGATTTGAAAGCAGTTCGAGAGCTCATTATTAATTGACTTTTACAGAATTTTCTTAGCATCCTTTCACTTAATCTGCAAGACTTGGTGTAACTCTAAAAGATCAGCTGGCGCGTGCACACTGCTAACTTTGATAGTAAATCTAACACTTTATGATAACGAATCCTACACATCAGAGACAAAGAAAATGTTTGAATATACACATTGTGCTTGAGTTTCATCAATATCTCTTCCATTGCATTTAAAACATGTGCATATATATATATTTGAAAACTCCACTTGTATTTCCATTTGCATCTCTACATTTTCCCCAATTTTATTTAGTCATATGTCTACAAAACCTGGCATTTGATATGTGATAATAAATGTATACTTTATCAACAAGGTTGAACGAACATACAAACACCGTTTTGTATATATACTAGTATATATATTGTGAAAAGCATGGCTTTAGAATCATTGAGTGTTACAAGTATCAGACTTTTGCTTGAAGTTGAAGCATCATCTTCTAAGCAGTTACTGAGTTAGCCCGAAATAAGCATTACGGGAGTACGGAAGGCAGTAATGCAACTAAACAAAACAGACTTATGACCAGTAAAAAGGCAAATTGATATCGGAAAAATGTTATAGAATCTGTAACGTACCTGTATCACTATCGAATCTTCATAACAACTGATTACACACGACCATTCTACTTCTGTCAATAGGGGGTCAATATTTGACCTTTCAACTTAACCTCGAAAGAATTTATGAGCCAATCAACACGTTTGTTACATCATCCGTCGGAAACGAGAACCTGCCACGACAAATTATTCATAAAATTTATTGTTTATAAGTTTTCTTCAATGGCGGTGTAAATATTATAGAATTAACAATATTTAGCTTATTGGTGTATGTTTTACAATTTCCGTTACAGTAAAATATTTCACCCTACTTCACTCCATACTTTTCGACCAATCAGCATTCACGTTTCTTTTTGCAGTCGGCCTACATTTGGTCAAAACACCGGGTAAGGACTCATAGAAATGCATTTAATTTAATTAGTGCAATGTTGATGCGATTAATTGCTGTTGTAGGATTATTTTCTTGTCATTGATTTTACTATTGATATCTGTAAACGTGTATTTGCAAACACACTGACAAAAACGACTTTCCAACCATTTTTACAAACCGGTTTGGGACCCTATGCACACGTGCTGATGTGGCAACCTTCTCTTTCAAGCAAATAGGCTAGATCTAGCCTAGATAATAACAGTTGCCGAGACTGGACCAGTAAAAGTGTTCAATCTTATTTTGAAAATAATATGTGTTTAATACGGCATCCGAATTGAACTGATTTCCTTAGGTGAGTCGATGTAAGGTGGACTCACAGGCACTCTTTGCTGGTTTGAGGGAGATCATACACAGGGGCTTGTATAGACTTATATGATAAAATAAGCTTGAAATACATATATATGTATGTACAGACAAGGGAATATCATGTAAGGAAAATTATTTTTGTTTGTTAGGCTAACATATTTTCCTCACCTGATCGCCCTAAAACAAGCATTGAGTGCTTCTGGTGGACAGCAGTATTTCTGTAGTTTTTTTTCATCTGAATTGGTAAGGGACTTGGTGGAATTTGATGCAGCAGTGACAGACCCAGACACCCTTCCAGTACCCCCCTTCCTCCCCTTTCCAATCCCTAGCCCGAGTTTCCTCAGGCCCTGTCATCAGACTTAGACATTTTGACACATAGATTGTCTGGTGTGGGGCCAGAGCGCACTGCTATGAAAACATGTTGGAGAGTTTCGAGGTGCTGACAACAAAAATTGACTATGACACAACATATATCGATAAATGGATTATTTATTTATCCTAATCAGCTCTTATTATCACTAACAGCTGCTAAATACCATCAGCCGAGTCCTCGGTTTTCAATCGTCCAAAATATCCCACCTGAGCGAACACCATTTTTGTAGGTCAGGGGAGTGACTAATCAACAAGAAGAGGCGGTCCGGAAATCTTCTAAACAAGAATGATATATTCCTTTCTCCGTTCAGATCAGTATGGCTTGTTGATTAGTCACTCCCCTGACCTACAGAAATGGCATTTGCTCAGGTGGAAAATTTTGACAAAGCCGAGGACTCTACTGACAGAAGTTAGCAGCTGTTGGTGATAATAAGAGCAGATTTGGCGATATATGTGAGGTATGTGTTGGGTCAGTCAATTTTTGTAGTCAGCACCTCAAAACTCAACAACACCAAACGGTGTCAGAGAATTCCACGTTTTCATATAGCAGTGCACTCTGGTGTCAGGGCCAGAGGAAACTTGGGCTATCCGATCCCCTGCCGCAAGACTGCAGCAATCAAAAGGTATTTTTTCCTCATTTCTCACCCCCTCCCCCAACCCCACCCTTGCACTTTTCACTCGCGCACATGCAGATTACTGAGACAAAACATATTCTGTAGTACTAGATCAGGATTCAAACCCTGAACTGTTCATAGTTGTACTATTGCGCTATAACCGAATGAGCAACAGAAGTGTCCTTGTCCATTTGTGTTACAGTTACATGCAAAATAAAATTAGGTGACAGGTTATAATTACTGAGTATATGAAAAAAACCAGTACAGCTGGACAGGGATCCTTCATTACATGTAATAAACACTTTTGAATATACATATAGTATGATATACGTGTTTAACGTGATGCATGCTTTTCATTCAGTTGATTTCAACGTTAACGGTGACCACTCAACATGAAGACCTCAACCAGCAGTCCCGCCTCTTGGATTATCAAGATGTCGCCAGACAAGCAGGACACCCTACTTAAGATGTCTATCCTCGCTATTGCTGCAATCTTGTGTAAGTTAAACATCTTGCATTGATTCATAAATTTGTGGAATCAAGACTTTGGAGAGATTTCACTTCTAGGCAAGACAATGTACCTTGATATTGAAATTGAGGGTTATATAGTCTTACTTAACCCACAATTTACTGGAAATATATATATATGAAATAAATTTATGAATGAAAATTACAATATCTTTATTTGCACTATGTAACTTTTCGTTTCGGTGATATGTCAGTTTTTCAATAATTCCACTAAATTTAGATAGTCTTTCCCTTAAATTAGGGCTGAAACAATATCATATAGTGATAATTTCTTGTGTATCGTATTAAACTGTTTTGTTTAAAAGAAAATTGCCTGTATCATAATACACTAACACTGATGAAATTATTATTCAATTTTGTATCCAACTCGGGGGGAAAAGTGTACTTATTGTTTTGGAATCCTTCAGTAAAGATGTGGTCCACTGTGCAGTCATACCCAAAAGTACTAAATATCATTCAAAAATATATTTTATACTGTTCAAGTCTATGACAAAACTTGGTACACTCATGATAACGAAGATGATCTTTTCAGCAGATAACCGTATCGTGATACGTATCTTATCGTAAGCATCCTACTGTCCAACTTACAAACGCATTAGTATTATTTTGGCGATATTATTAAAATCATCATGATATTGAAAGTTCTAACCATTAAAAAAACAGTATTCCTAAAACCAGAGCTTGTGTTGGAAAGAGCTGGCATTTTTTGTCGGCAACTTACTTAACCAGCTTCTAATCATCTAATGATAATAATGCATTTCAATGCAGCCCCACCTAAAACAGCAAGACAGAGCCCTGGGTCGTGAACTTGTGATTTTGTTTTTTGTAATGTAATCTCCCATTCAACTTCCTTCCAGTTTTATCCTAGACTGGAAGTATATACAGTGGGAAACATAAAGTTTAGCTTTATATTTAATTTGATTTTTCCTGTTAGGAAAAAACATATTAAAGCTAAGAACATGTACTGTATATAATAAATGCTTCATGGATCCTACCATAGAAACAGAGGTGAAACCAGGAACCCTGTAAAAGTATATAATACATTGAAGTGCTCAAACACAAGATGATAAGATATGTTGCTACAAGTCATATCTGCTGCAAAATCAATCTGATTGAAAGAAATGAAAATTTTGTTTAATAAGCTAATATAATGATGCCTAAAAATATCTTGTTTGTCATTTTTGACCCAGAGTTTTTAGTTTTAGGATGGGTTGATAATTAAGGTGAAATGTTTCATTTTTGCAGATCTGGGACAGTTAAAATGATTTTGAAAAAGAATACACATTAGTGACATTATCGCATGTTTATTTCATACTTAATAATGTTTTAGTCTCAGTTGTAGTACCTGCAGGAAACCAGTACTTTCAGTTTCTGGAGTAAATTCATCATAAAAATTTCAATAAAATATTTTGAATTTGACAGATTTCGGTCGGTCAATTTAGGCTCAAGTTTGTCATCATAATTATGGAACACTGATATAACAATCTGAAGAGATTTGTTGCCTTATTTTAAGAAAAGTAGTTGTAATAATTTCATGTTTGTATTTTTCAGCATTTTCTACAAGACTGTTTTCAGTGCTGAGGTTCGAGAGCGTTATCCACGAGTTTGATCCCTACTTTAATTACCGGACAACTCGTTACCTGACTGAGGAAGGTTTCTACGAGTTCCATAACTGGTTTGATGACCGAGCATGGTACCCCCTGGGCCGTATCATTGGTGGAACCATCTATCCAGGTAACAGTCATCTGATTAGGCCAGAACAAATGTTTGCAGTAGTGTATGCATATAGCCATAGAACTTGTTTTCTATCAATTGAAGTAAATTAAAGGGGCAAACAAATCCAGTTTATATTCAAAGGAATACAAATGTACCTTTGGAAAATCCTGAGTTTAAACGTTTAAACATGAAATTCAGTTTGTAAAATTAAAATGTGGGTATTCAGAAGTAAATAATCTGTGTCATATCAGATTTACTGTCAGAGTTCAACTAGTTTGGCATGCTACCAATTAGGAGGTGGTACAAATTTACAGTATGGCAGTTACTTTTTCCCAATGAATGTTGTGCAATTACTATAAGATATCTCGGGAAACAATTCTATAATTACAGGCTTGTCAAATTACATCTATAAGGTTGGACTTGCAGATTGTATTAATTAAGATAGGTTGACTGTTTATCACAGCAATGCATTGCAGAGGGAACTGAAAAGCTAATGATTTCATTTTCTGATGTATAACAGGTTTGATGGTGACCTCGGCAGCGTTGTATCATGTGATGAACTTTTTCCACATCACTATTGATATCAGGAATGTGTGTGTGTTCCTGGCTCCTCTGTTCTCCAGTCTCACCACACTCGTCACCTACCACTTCACCAAGGAGCTCAAGGCAAGTGACACAGGACAGCAATATCAACAACTTTTTGAGTTTGCCTTTAGTTTTTAAAAAACCTGGATTGGTAGAAATCTGAAGTAATTGATTAGTGGCAATTCTTATTTTATTTCTTCACATAAAAATTAGATAGAAAAAAAAAAGAATGAAAAAAATACCTACCTACCTGTACAAATATTTTTTATGAAATGTGGCAAACAAATATTTAGGCCTAAAAACATATCCTGCTGGAAACAGAACTGCATTTATACGACCTTTGTGTGTAAGTAGCGAGGACTGTCAGCTTATTTCCCCCTATAGAATGGTAATGACTTTCGAGATCTAGAGAGATCCACAGACTATATTTTATTTTGTAAATCCTATTTTGCAGGATGCCAATGCAGGTTTAGTAGCAGCAGCTATGATTTCCATTGTCCCTGGTTACATCTCTCGTTCGGTGGCCGGTTCATACGATAACGAGGGTATCGCCATCTTCTGTATGCTGTTGACTTATACCCTATGGATCAAGGCAGTCAAGACTGGCTCCATCTTCTGGGGATGCATGTGTGCCCTTGCTTACTTTTACATGGTAGGTATACAGGGTTCTCAGATTGACCATCAGTTTGATGTCATAGTGAATTTATATATACAGTCCACCTATAATATGATCCCCTTTCTTAACCCTTTCACCACTGTAGACTATAATGGACCCCTCCATATCAATGCATGGTAGAGTCTACTAAAGTTACATAGGGGTGAAAGGGTTAAGAGACCACCTATTAATTACATCATATGATCCCCCTTCTTAAAAGACCGCCTATAGAGACCCCTTTCAATTTTCCCCATTGAAGTAACTTATTTGTCTGTATTAATTGACAAGCTGTGTTAATGGACCACTATTTAGACTCCCCTCGGGGAAATTTGCCCCGTGTTTGTTACTCCTTCACATTTAATTACTATGTTAAGTATATTATTTCCTAATGTTTGTATTAATGATAAATTTGTCCTCAGTAATATGAGGGTTTAAAAGGCAGTTAAGTCAAATTTATTTTGACTTGGTAAAAAAATGTATGTGAAAGTGCAATGAAATTCCTCAACTTAAATTTCGTCGTGTAATAACATATATTTCAGTTCTAGTGATTTTTCTTCCTCTTTCCACAGGGGCCTGTGCCTGTTGATTTGGGGAAAATATCACCCACAAAAAGCATGATTTTGGGGGAAATAAAATGAAATTGAGCTTTAACTCTCACTGATTTTGGAAATTATTTTTTATTTTTTGACAGGATAGATATTTTCTTTCTTGCAAGCTAACACTCTGTACCTGGCTTGATTGTAGCCATGTCCAATTTCATGCCTTGCTATAGTGAGCGGGCAGTTGGTCACCTCTTTGATCTTGGTTTACTGACCAGAGATCATCATACCAGCTGGTACAGCTATGAAAAAAATACTTGATCTTCTTTGCTGCAAGCTAGCCATGCTGTTTTTGTGTCACATCTTAGCTTGCATTAAAGCTGCAGTAAAATGGTGACTTTCATGAGATGAAAAGTAATTTACTAGTAGACTTATTTTTAAAAAAAATCTTGCGATATTGTCTCCCAGATTGGGATTTAGATATTGTAATGACAGTATACTTTAACTTAATAGACCACAGCATCAACAGGTAGGAGCCGAATAAGAACCTAAAGTTTAAACATAAATACAGCAACAGGAAACAGGAATTTTGGAGATACCAAAATCAAAATGTAAATCATCACGAAGTTCATCCTCGAAATCCAAGAGATGTGCTGTCGATACATGTATCTCATCTGTATTCATGCTATATGTCATGACAAAATTAAAGGCTTGTGGTAAGCTGTTTGATTGTTTTCAGATATAATATCCTGACCAATCACTAGCCAGATAAACTTCTTTGAAGGTTAAATACTCATGAGCTACACTCGATTCAAAACCTGTTGATGTTACTGTTACTTGGCTGTGCTTCATCCAAAACGTCACTCCCTGTGTTCCAAGAAACCCCCAAAACAGACAGTTCTACCCCCAGTTTTCAACAGTTGCTCTATGTAATTACATGTAGGTACATAATCTTGAAAAAGTATCGAATATACCCCAGATCTAAAATTCAGTGGGAACACCAACTCCTATCTATTTGTATTGTCTGCAAGGTATTGCTTAAAGGCCCTGTCACAGGTGACACACACTGTTTAGTTACTGGTTACACCCTCTTACCAGTTCTGTACAATCTAGTCCTCGGAGTTTCATCATGACTTACTCTAGGGCTGCAGAGGATGTGAAAGGTATTGCTTAAAGGCCCTGTCACAGGTGACACACGCTGTTTAGCGACTGGTTACACCCTCTTACCAGTTCTGTACAATCTAGTCCTCAGAATTTCATCATGACATACTCCAGGGCTGCAGAGGATGTGAAAGAGCGTAGCCCATGGAATTAGAAGGACGCATGAACTGGAACAAAAATAAGCTTGGAGTGGAAGTTGTATTCTATTAATGTCTAACTATTTCTGCACGACATGTGACATCTGTCTAATGTTTGCTATAAAACTTCTGTTAAACAGGTGTCGTCATGGGGAGGCTACGTGTTCCTCATCAACTTGATCCCCCTCCATGTGCTGGCACTCATGATGACCGGCCGATTCTCACACCGTATCTATGTAGCCTACTCCTCGGTAAGTATACACACCCAACATAGTGTGTGTGTAAACTAATTAACTTCAGATGACTCACCTATAAAATTGCAAGGCAGATGTTTGCATGTTAATTTGCTAGATATTGAAATGACCTTGTATAGTACAGGTACTGCTGTTATTGTTTTTTCGAATCCATTTCAAGCATGTAAGTTAATTTGATTTTTGATTTTTTAAATCACCATGAAAGAAGCTACTTTAGTTGCTCCAGGACTCCTGGCAGCAGTAAATGTTATTAGGCTGTAAGAAATAATGATCAGTCTATGATAATCGCAAATTAGTTTCAGTATTGAAATATCCCTTCAAAACGATGTGCAGTATTGGGATAGACCCTCAAAATTGAAATAGAAATACTCTGACATTATGTCATGTATGACCTCTGCACCTTAACACTTTAACCGCTGTTGTCTCACATATGTTGTTGTTATTTTCTAGGTATACTGCCTCGGTACAATCCTGTCCATGCAGATCTCATTTGTGGGATTTCAGCCTGTTCAGTCCAGTGAACACATGGCCGTAAGTTTCCTCTGACAATACAAAAATTGATACAACACCCGTTTTATAAGTATCATGTGGAATCGGGATAAATTTGGTATAATTTGTGTTATCACTTGAATAACAAAGTTATCTAAACTGAATATTTTGCATTGTTAGGTAATTATTTGTCATTACATTGTTCTGTGTACTGTCTCCAAGCAAGTTTTATTTATCAAAAATGAAAGGAATTTTTAATTTCCTACTTTGCATTAGAACTTAAGCAGGTGATTCATGTAGATTAATTTTTCGCAGATAATGCAGTATTTTCTCCAGAAGGGGGGATTGTGNCCCCCCCCCCCCCCCCCCCCCCCATACATCTCTATATTCTGCCTATCACACTACAATGCCCCCAATGTTTTTTCAAACCTGAGAAAACACTGGATTATTGTAAGTTACAAATTAATTCTGGTGTACATGTCATGTGATAAATTAATTCTTTCACTGTAGTTCCATTGTGTTGATATTCAGTATTGCTGAAATAAAAACCAAACACAACATGTCACTGTTGCAGGCCTTGGGAGTATTTGGTCTCTGTCAGATCCATGTCTTTGTCGACTACATCAGGTCCAAACTGACCACTGAGCAGTTCAACACCCTGTTCAGGAGTATCATCCTTTTGGTTGGAATTCTTGGAACTACTGCCGCCGCCATTGCCACAGCCACAGGCAGTATCCTTGGAAACATAAATCACATACTAGTTTTCCTGTTAGGAATACCCAGGTAGAAGGGATCATTAACTTATTTCCTGTTAATGTATTGTAACAGGAGTAAGAGAAATGCACGGCCAGACTGGGGTTCAAACCCGGGACCCTCCGAACTTTAGACGGACACTCTACCTATTGAGCTAGGTATTCAGCAGGAATTTAAAGAAAGCGTTTAATAACAAAAGTAGGTAGAATTAAGGGAAGAGCCAACATTTAACACTGCAGTATTTGTAGAAGTTTTTATTTTTCCTGTCGTTTTATCATTTTATGTAGTAGTTTGCTGAATACCTGTTCTATGAGACCAATCGAGGCCACGTGCTTTACTATATGGGCAAAATTTCCTCCCAAAAGAGCATTTCCTTGTCTTTAAAAAATTTGCTCTGAGCTTGAAATTCTATGGATTTTCTGTAGGTGTTTTCCTCTAACTACACATTTTCTTTGTAAATCACTAATTTGTAAAATTGCAATCAAGCACAGTTAAGAAAGACTGAATCCATGTATATCTGATAAAATTGCATTAAAATCCAGAAAAGTGTTAAGATCTCCAGTGTGTAGTGAGTATGATGTGCAACATAAACATCTGTGCATCTTAAAAGGTAGTATTGTGTCCAAAAGCAGTGGAAAATTAAGCTGTAGGAGTGCATGTGAAAGATGATTATTACTGTAGGTTCATCGGGAAAATTACTTTTTCCTGTAGATCTTAAAATACATAAATTTCCTCAAAACGTATTGGTCACTGAGGTGCTAGTCATGTTTTGGGTGTAGCAGTACATATCATAACTAAGTGTGATTCACTATTAACCTTGACCTTGGTAAGAAATCTCGCCCTGGACTGGACGTTTCTACTCTCTGCTGGACCCCTCTTATGCCAAGAACAACATCCCCATCATCGCATCTGTATCTGAGCATCAGCCCACCACATGGAGCTCCTTCTACTTCGACCTTCAGCTCCTTGTCTTTATGTTTCCAGGTCAGCAAAGGTCAAAGTTCAATATAACGGATTCAATCAGTTGGCTGTCAACTTTGAAATCAGTTTTGTAATGGAAAAAAATGATAGCAAAATTTTGAAACAGTCCAATTTAGAAGAAAACTAAATTAGGGGGGTGGGGGGGGGTCAACATAATAAGAAAAGTTTGGCAGATGATTTTCATTAAATGGCTCCTATTTCTTGTCTAGCATTTAAGTGAGCTTTTTTTTGCCTTGATTAGATAAATTAGAGGTGAAAGCAAAAGGCTAAGAATCCCTTTCATAGCTGTAACAGCCTTCATGATAAGTGCTGTGATATTTAATTTGGATTTCCTTTATATTCATAAAATTTTCAAAATTCAATTTCTCTTTCCTGAAAATTTCATTTCAAATTTCAAGTTCCTAACTTATTTTTAAAAGATCAACAAACCAAGACAACAGAAGTCACAGATATTGGCCGAGACTAGTTTGATTGTATTGTTTAAACAATGTAATTATTTTACAGTGGGTCTCTACTTCTGTTTCTCCCACCTCACGGATGCCAACATCTTCATCATCATGTACGGAGCTACCAGTATCTACTTCGCGGGGGTGATGGTGCGTCTGATGTTGGTGCTGGCTCCTGTCATGTGTATTCTCTCGGGCATCGGTGTCTCGGCCACTCTCACTAATTACATGAGGAATCTTGACATCACAAAGAAAACCAAGAAGGCCAAGAAAGGAGAGGATACCAACTACCCATTCAAAAATGAGGTAATATTTGTACCAGTGTATCATCAGAACATGTGTACATCTCGTTATTGATTGAAATTAATGACTGGTAACTGGTATTTGGCTGTATCTTTATAAAATGAACTTTCTCTGATTTTGAGATGAGGATACTTTTATAATCCTGAAAATGTGGAACAGCAATGATTTCAATTATCTGTACTTAATAATCTAGATGATAAAAGAGACGATAGATTAGCAAGATAACACTCTGTACCTGGCTTGATTGTAGCCATGTCCAATTTCATTCCTTGCTATAGTGAGTGGTCAGTTGGTCACCTCTTTGATCTTGGCTTACTAGCCAGAGGTCATCATACCGGCTGGTACAGTTCATAACCTTTAATATGTTTCAGAGTCTTATTATTCATACAATATTTATGTGCACTCTGAAGACACATTTGACCTCTTCTGATTCAAAGGTTAGAATAGTTCATTTTGATATTTCAGGGGTGAATGAGTTAACTAACCCTAACTTGTAATATAATCATATGAAGATTAGTGCTAGTGGAATTATGCACCCCATAACAACAATTAAAATTTGCTATTCAGTAAAAAGACATCAATGATTTCTTCAAGCAGAATATCAAGTTTAGGGCTAAATGTTAGAGATGGGATTTCAATATATTTTGAATTCTGTCTGAGCAGACTTTTAGCATTACTGATCTTTTAAGGGTCACTCTGGGGAATATCCATAGTATTTTACTGTTAGATAAATAGGAATTAATTTGATAAGTACAGACTTTTGCAGTGAAATACAATGTCCTATGTTGTATTTTATTATCTTACTTTGTTGCAGTCAAGAAATATGTCACATTGTGTACTTTACTTTGCATTCCATTAAAACAGGGATCATTGAATAAATTTCTTAAAAAAAAGAAACGATTTTCTAATAAATCCTCTAGTAATGTAATAACTCTTGATTCATTGCTGCTACAGGGCTGTTTTCGAATTTTCACTATTATAGGTAGCCACAGGTGTGGTGTTCATGATGACAGCCTTTCTCATCACCTACACATTCCACTGTACTTGGGTGACGTCCGAAGCCTACTCAAGTCCTTCCATCGTTCTGTCTGCTCGTGCTGGTGATGGAGGACGAATCATATTCGATGACTTTAGAGAGGCGTACTACTGGCTCAGACACAACACTGCAGAGGTATGACATTGTGACAGCTGTTTTTGCTGTTTGTAGTAGGAATGATTTGTTCACCCAGCCACTATATCACAGAAACAAAAACTCAATTATCACAAAAAATTAACTTGATTATCACACAAAACATTAACTCAATTATCACACAAAACATTAACTCAATAATCACAGAAACAATTAACTCATTTGTCTCAAGAAACCATTAACTCATTTATCACAAAAGCAATTAACTCATTTATCACAAAAGCAATTAACTCATTTATCACAGAAACCATTAACTCAATAATCACAGAAACAATTAACTCATTTGTCACAGAAACCATTAACTCAATAATCACAGAAACAATTTAACTCATTTGTCACAGAAACAATTAACTATGGGGGGTTCGTGATTCTCGTCTGGAACATCGTGGGGGATTTTCGGAGGCTTGACCTATGACAGGTCTCTACACAACTATAAAAAGACAAGGTAATTCCCACAATGAACGTTTTACAAACTACTCAATAAAAAAAAAATCGCCCTCATCTCGTTTTTGCCATGTAAAATGAAAAAATAAAATACCGCCCTGCCCTGAAAAAAAATGGCCTGAGAACCAAGTAATTAATTTTCACAGAAACCATTAACTCAAATATTGAAGAAACAATTAACTCAATTATCACAAACAATTAACTCAATCTAAAAAAACATCCAACTTATTGCTTGTATGATTAAAAAAAAGACATTTCTTTGCAAGCTAACACTCTGTACCTGGCCTGTTTATGGTCAGGTCCAATTTCATACCTTGCTATAGTGAACAGTCAGCTGTTTACCTCTTTGACCTTGGTTTGCTGGCCAGAGGTCATCATACCAGCTGAAACAGTTAAACAAAGCTTTAAAAATCAGACCAGGTTTAGTTTTGTGCATTTTAGAGTTTGAAACATTCCAAAAATTTTCAGAGAATTTCAACTTATAAGGATAATGAAAATAATTCTTTTAGATTATTAATTTGGTCCTGTACAGTTCAAGCATGTTAAAGAGTAAAAGCTAATTTCAAATAGATTTTAGAAAATCTCCTAAACAGAACAGTTTGGCAGTGTTCTCATGATCAGCAGGATGACAGGATTATAGATTGAATTACGTTCAGTTTTCAGTTCTAACATCAAATGGAATTTTGAGAAATGTAGAATACACAACTTCGAGTGTTTCCTGCTTTTCAACAGTACTTTCTTTCTTTTACTTTAAAAACTCATACTATATAAAGCTATTTTCAATATACACTAAGTTTGCAACCCTGCTCTATTTCATGAAATATAAATTTTAGAAAGTTAAAAAAAAATGAGTACATACTGACCCAACTTTTTGAGGGACAAGCAACAGGAAACAAGGTAGTATTTTAGTCTGTATGGTGAAGCCTAGCAAGTCGTACACTCTTAGATGTAAATTGTCCTTACAAACACATAGTCTCTTGTTTGGGGATCAAAGATATACAATTAAAAGTTCCATTCTTAATACTCACCTTACAAACACATAGTCGCTTGTTTGGGGATCAAAGATATACAATTAAAAGTTACATTCTTTAATACTCTCCTTACAAACCCATAGTCTCTTGTTTGGGGATCAAAGATATACAATTAAAAGTCACATTCTTAATACTCACCTTACAAACACATAGTCGCTTGTTTGGGGATCAAAGATATACAATTAAAAGTTCCATTCTTAATACTCACCTTACAAACACATAGTCGCTTGTTTGGGGATCAAAGATATACAATTAAAAGTCACATTCTTAATACTCACCTTACAAACACATAGTCTCTTGTTTTGGGATCAAAGATATACAATTAAAAGTTACATTCTTCAATACTCACCTTACAAACACATAGTCTCTTGTTTAGGGATCAAAGATATACAATTAAAAGTTACATTCTTCAATACTCACCTTACAAACACATAGTCTCTTGTTTTGGGATCAAAGATATACAATTAAAAGTTACATTCTTAATACTCACCTTACAAACACATTGTCTCTTGTTTGGGGATCAAAGATATACTGTTAAAAGTTACATTCTTTAATACTCACCTTACAAACACATAGTCTCTTGTTTGGGGATCAAAGATATACTGTTAAAAGTTACATTCTTAATATTCGCCTTACAAACACATAGTCCCTTGTTTGGGGATCAAAGCTATACAATTAAAAGTTACATTCTTAATACTCGCCTTACAAACACATAGTCCCTTGTTTGGGGATCAAAGATATACAATTAAAAGTTACTTTCTTTAATACTCACTGTATAGCAGGATACTTCCGCAGATGTCACGAATCAACAATGTGAACACGAAAATATGATCTGCAGAATGATATGACGAGCGTAATGATAAACTTGATAACCCTAATAGCGAGTATGCAGTTGTAACGATTCATATACATCAAGAATAATAGATGTTTGAAAATAGGTTACCAGGGTATATTTGACATCAGATAGTTTTATTGATAATTTTTTTGAACAAAATGCGCTTTCTTGTTGCTCAATAAATATGCTGTAATGACGCCTATTTTAATTTTATTTGACTATTTGACACTGTATGTGCCCAGTGCCTCGTCTCTGTGCTAAAACACTGCAAAAATGCAGTTCCATCACATATATATCTAGATTGTTATATTATAATCTGTGTATATCTAATTTTCTAAATTTGTGTCAAAATCGCAAAAATCAAGCCCACACAAATAGCCCCTTATACAGTAACTATTTTTGTTTCTGTTCTGGTAGTAATGTTTTAAAACAACTTAACCTCTCATACAAATTAACTGTAGGTTACTTCTATAAATTAAGTTTATAGTCATTGTCCAGATATCAATGTTTTTCATGAAGAATTTGCAACAACTTATGTTTTTTCTGTGTGATATTTTTACAGGATGCGAAGGTGATGTCGTGGTGGGATTACGGCTATCAGATAACGGCCATGGCTAACAGGACTATACTGGTGGACAATAACACGTGGAACAATACTCACATATCTCGCGTCGGACAGGTAAGCTAACAATACTCACATATCTCGCATCGAACAGGAGAGAATTCCCATATAAAATAATCAGGGACAAACAATACCCACATATCTCACATCGGAAAGGTAAGAATTCACACATAAAGGATCAGGCACTAATGATAGGTCATTTAGTCATGATATGATATCAAAAAAACAAGTATACTACAAGTTGGATGCCCAATTCTGTCCCAATACCACAACAAACTTCGACTAAATGTACTACACAAATAAAGACAATCAGCAAAGTTGATTTGGCTTTTGTTCGAAGCTATAAGAAATGGCAATTTAACCTCGCTTGGTATGACAGCTGTTGAGTTGTTGTTCAATTCTATTTATTTCATTTTTCAGGCCATGTCGTCAACAGAAGATAAAGCCTATGAAATAATGCGTGAATTAGATGTCACTTACGTACTTGTTATATTTGGCGGATTGACAGGGTATTCCTCTGATGGTAAGAATTTTCATACTGTATTCCGGCAGTAGCAGAAAGAGCTTGTACATTCTTAATATCTTAAGGTTGTGAAAACAAACATGATAAGTGTAATGATAAAGTTTTAGTGAAAGTAAGGAATAGTTTGTTTTAGAAATAGTTTTCATCACATTTCTCTTTAATCGTGTGATTTATCGTTTTCGTACATATGAAAGTAAAATGCAAATCATAAATCATGTATTTAAAATATGTTATTACCAGATATCAACAAATTCCTTTGGATGGTGAGGATTGGGGGCAGTACAGACCGAGGGGCTCACATCAAAGAGTCTGACTACTATACGCCTCAGGGAGAATTCCGTATAGACAAAGACGGTTCACCCACCCTCCTCAACTGTCTGATGTACAAAATGTGCTACTACAGATTCGGCTCTGTCTACACAGAGGGAGGTAAGTCTTACGAGATATATATATACTCGTTTATTATAATCCTCTATACAAAGCAAGAAGTATGTCTGTTCTACTATCTGTCTGTCCATCCCTCACACTCGTTTTCCAGTCCAGTGGTCATATTTCTTTACATTTTAAAGAAACTTCCCTGGAATGTTGCCATTTGACATTACCAGGGCAGGCAGTCAAATGTCAAGGTCACTAGGCATTACCATGGCTAGGGCAGGCAGTCAAGTTCATCGTTACTAAAAATAGAGATATTATGTCATCTCTCTAGCAGTTTAGATTTTTACGAAACTTCATAATGAAAAATTGGCCGTTGACATACCCTAGGCCTGGACAGTTTTAATATAAGCCAACATTGAAAGGAAAGATAGACCTGACAAGTATGTATTTTATATATAGGTAGACCTGACAAGTATGTATTTTGTCAGAGACAGCTTGGTTGCTGTAAATGTTTAAGTATTGAAATAAGATTGTCTATAAAAAAAACGTATCCAGAATGAAAACATCTCAAAAACATCAAGTGCCTGGATAACTAATGCTACCCTGTTTGTACATATTTTTGAATTTTGTTTCTTCTTAATTTCAGGAAAACCCACTGGATATGACAGAGTGCGCAATGCTGAAATTGGAAACAAAGATTTTGAACTTGATGTTTTAGAAGAAGCTTACACCACAGAGCACTGGCTTGTCCGCATTTACAAAGTTAAAGATTTAGACAACAGGGGCCTGTAGACAGTAACACAGCTGAAGATCATTTTTAAAATTTCATGACATGTTTAGTTTTGTATTTGATGAATGATAGAGTAAGCATTTCATACTATAAGTATTATGGAAGGACAGAAATATATATCTTTTTAACAAAATGAACTTAACCTTTGGAAAAGAAAGAAAATTGGCAAAGATGAGGATTTTGCAATAAATTGATGCAGGTTAAAATTTGGAAGGAAAATATGCTGTCCTTGAGATTTTTCATCAATTTATTAGTGAAAGTATTTAATTAATGATTGGTAAAATTTGGATATTTTGTCCAGTGAGAACTCTGTGAGAAAATGTTCAGTGTTAGACCTGAGTGAGTGAGAAAGTTTAAGTAAGAGGGAAGATTCATAGAGTATTACATGAAAGTCTTAAAGTAATACAAACCTTTTTAACAAGGGTCCTGTTAATCCACAAACTCTCCATCCAGACCCTCATTTTTGACCATATATCAAATTATGTGGGCATCAAATTTCTGAAGACAGAGTTGTTGAAATTTACAGCTATGCAGCTAAATTAAAATATCTTTACTTACGACAAAATCAGGTATACAAAGGAAAACAAATTAAAAATTGAAATGTAAAAATTCTTATTTTGGAGATTTGTTGAAAACTGCAATTTGGTCAACTTAAATATTTACTGTAAGAATTTCATAAGTGCTGGGATTTTCCCAACACTGCTTCAGTGAAGTCTTAAACCAGATATTGTCGCCATTTCTTCTGCTGGATGAGGACTTTTTCTATCCATCTCACAGATCTGCTTCTTTTTGATGTGATGATAAATTGAAATTGTTACTTTTACATTTTGTAATGGAATTATACATGTGTTGTTATCACACATATGTGTTTATATGTAAAAGTTTCCGAAGGATAGGGTATATATAAACATTAGCTGATCACATTTTATTTGTATTAAAAGTCCTTCATCTGACTGAAGTGCTACTGGTCTTTTGACATCACCAAGCTTTAAGCAGTCCATGATGAAACGTTTAAAATGCAGATCTATATGTTATTTTTCAGCAACTACAATAACTTCCCATTTGCACCAATTGTATTGTGCTTATAGCAGTATTTGCCCTCTAGGGTGAACTCTGATGAGTCGGCATAGTCTGACCGAATTCTTAGCTTTACTTCGACAAAATGTGCTACTAGCAGCTTAAGATAAAAGCCATTTAGAATCTACATAGATATTATACTTGGTAAATGGGGAACCATCGGTTGGCTTCTAATATGTGGTGAATCGGATGTACATTCCATGTGAAAGTGAAATCTTGTAATAAAATATCCTTCTGAGAGTATTTGGTCTCCCTTTGATAAGATCTATGTTTAGATAATCACCTGTTAAATGTCTATTAGGATGAACATGAATGCTTTATATATTACTGTCATTATCAGAAATAAAATTATCTTTTATTTAATACCTACCTTTCTTGTCTGTTGTGTATGATCGTACATGTAGTTGTAACCAGATCAAGAGGTTCCAAACCAAGGTATATCATGATTACATGACCGGTGTCTGGTTGCAGAAGACTGATCAGCCTGACCTCCCAATTTGAACAGTTTAATTAAAACGTATTTGGAACAGCTAAGGTCATAGGACAACTAATTATGGGTAAACCCTGTCACTAAATCAACAATAAGTCTCGAGCAATGCCACTGGAGCAGTCTCATCTGTGTTGCTATGGGACACAGTAGTCTATTTTTATTAGCTCACCTGGTAGAAGTGCCAATTGAGCTAATGGTATGGTGTGTTGTCCGACTTTGTCTTTAGAACTGGAGGACGTAGGTCAACCATATTTAGCCAGTAGGTACCTGGTATGGAGTGCTATACATCAAATATATGACCTTGACCTACTTTCAAGGTCATATCTGTAAAACATGTAAAAAACCTTTGAAAAAAATGCTGAATAACCAAGATGCCAAGAGTGATGATACTTGGTCAGTAGGTACCTGACATGAAGTGCTATAAACTTTCATCAGATAAATGACCTTGTCCTACTTTCAAGATCACAAGGGTCGGTCAAATGTGTTAATATTTTTTAACAACTTTTGGATATCCAGTTGGTCCAGGGTGCTGATATTTTGCCAGTAGTTACATGGGACGGAGTGCTATGAAGTTTCGCAAATAAATGACATTGAGCTTCTTTTAAGATGACCGGGGTCAAATATGTCAATATCTTCATATCTGGCCAGTAGTTGCCTTGGATGTGCTATGAAGTTTCCTCAACTTCTAAATAACTAAAACACAAATGGTGATGATAATTGGCAAGATGGTATCTTTGAAAGAGTGCTACAAACTTTCCTCAAATATATGACCGTGACCTTTCAAGGTCACAGGCATCAAATATATAAAAACCTTTTAAATAACAACTTCCGAATAACCAAGAGGCCCAAGACAATGATAGTTGACAAATAGGTACCTGTCATGGAGTGCCTGAAAGTTCCAAGGTCAGAGGGGTCAAATATGTTAAAAGCTTTCAGCAACTTCTGTACTATCAGGAGGCCCTAGGTGATGTTATTTTACCAGTAGCATGCTGGGATAGAGTGTTATAAAGTATAATTTGGTCTGGAACACGATTTTACTTTTACGGAGTTCTTCATCATGATTGGTCGAATTTCGTGACGAGCGATACAGCCCCTCTAGGCCTCTTGTTTCTATTTTGAAACTAGTACAGTTTGACATTTTGTGTTTAATCAGTGCTATATATTGTTGGTTTATGTCGAATCCATGATATTTTAAAGCTCAAACGCCATGGCCGTCGTCCATCAATGTACGTGTTAGCCTACCATCATCAGATGGTTGGATCTCAAGTCGCCTTTCATCAATAACTATTGGCCATTGAACAATATTTTGGTGTATACTCCTCTAACTCCATTAAAAGGTCTACAACTTACTAGATTAATTGTATGAATACTGAGCGAATAAAACCAATATAACAGGAAAGAACTTGTACAGTGGAATCGAGGTAGGACACTCCATATCCAAAATAACCACTTACTTATTAAGGAGAAGGGTTTGAGTTAGTCTGAGGCATAGTTCGACCAGGGGAACGTGATGATATATAAACAAAAAGTGGAGCAGATGGGCGGGTCCCAATAGGGGGAATTGATGGTAGGTGAGAGGTTGGTTTGGTTTGTGTTTTTTCGTCCAGTCAACAGCTCTAGTCATTTAAGGGCGTGCCAGGTTTTGGTGGTGAAGGAAAGACGAAAACAATACCGACCTGCAGCCAGTTCCTAGCGACTGACCCATGTAGGCCCCGAACTCGCGGCCCGGTGGTGGTAACAGAATTTTAAACGCCTTAACCACTTGGCCAGCGTTACTCATACCTACGTGACAAGTCCTCAAAGTACAACTGTTGTCGACGACATCTTCTTATCCGAGATACATATTATATATATTTCAAATACATATTGAAAACTATTTCCACATATGCAAGTTGACGATTCAAGCTTTTTAAGAAAACCTTTAATATAACTAGAATGTTTGACGTTATCTGTTATCAGTTATTGAAGGAACGGATAAAAGGTTAGAATAAATCAAATGACCAATATGGAAAATTGAGACATTTTGTTTTGTTTTAAATCTACTACTAATAACAGACGGTATGAAAAGACAAACACCTAATCTTGTGACAAAGATTGGTTCGAGGGTACATCCTCCTTCCCTGTTTCATAACAGAGATCATTGAGCTTGTTTCTAAGTCCTTGTACCAGCTAAGGATGCTATAGATCACTACCCTCTATTTACATATATACAAAACACAATCTAGACACGAAGAGATAAATGCACGTATGCTACCATGATTGGTACTGCCTCTTGGGATTTAGTCCATTGGCCATACCGTGGAAATAGTCAAGATCCCCAATCCCCGCCGTATGTACAGCTGTTGGGATTGCAAACGTTACAATCACTTGGCCCAGGGGTCCAACCCTGCATGTTTCTGGAACATAACCAATACATAAAAGGGAAATAGAGGAGATCTAAGGTCTAAGACCCAATTGTTGTGAAAAAAGAAAATTGAAGTATCTTCCCTGGGGTGTGGGGTTCAGATTAAAGAATCAGATGCACGATACAAGCCCTATGTGCCACTTTTTTCATTTCATGTTAAGGTGTGTATAGTGGTAACCTTTGTTCGTGCGGGGTAACGCTATGGCGATTTATTTGCCCGGTTTTGTGCTGAGGTATATTTTGTTCCTATGTGTTGATGTGTTGATGCTTAACGATTGGCCGTTTTGTAAAATTAATAACAAGTTAAACAGCAGGAAAAAAAATCAATTGCAGAACATTTATATCATGCATTTTCGTTGTTTAAACTCGTGAAAGCATTATGATTCTGAAATCAGTTGACCATGATTGAAGATATTGATGAAGACTTTCGGTATGCAAAAACTTCTCATTTGATATGTGTGTGCAAAGAGATCTTTTCAAGAAGTCAAATATAATAGAAGACTTATAGTATGTGAATATATTGAATAGATGGTTGTACAAAGAAAAGTACGAAACTAAAATACGGGACTTTTTTTTCTCCGAAATAATGTCTGTTATGAATCCAAAACAGCTATGGACTGAGTTTGAAATAATATAAGAGGTTTGAGGTTGTTGCGAGTGTGATTTGCATATGTATCAGAATGGTATAAAGTTTACTTCACATTCTGTTACTGAAATTGACGCTGAGACAAACGCGATTGAGGGACTATTTGACAGCATTGATGAAGTCAACGAGGCGGTAAATTACGAAGTTTTTTTTCTACTCGAGGAAATACACGGCGCCAATTTCTGATTTCAAACATTGCGATTGCCTTTGATAAGAAATGTAGATTCTCTAAAATACGTCAATATACAAATATTTATTTAGGGTGATGTTTTAGGCATCTTTTTAAAGACATTATGTTGTGGATCGAGGAACTACGTTATGTGTCGTAGTTAGGAGGTAGTAGTTCGGTTGGTATAAAAGCGAGTGAGCGTTCTGTTTCGGTCACTGAGGATTGAAAGGTATTTACTTTTATAATATTGTTTTGTGTCGATAAAAGTGATTTTAAACATATAAGATATTGGCACAATTATTTGTACATATCTCAAATTGAAGGATACCAGTCTTCAACTGAATTGAACCTATCTTCAATTGAAGTGAACATAGGTACAAATTAACTAAACCTAGATACAAAAACAGCATATCTCTCATTGAATTGAACCTATCTTTAATTAACTTGGACCTATCTTCAACTAATTGTTCCCATCTTCAATTATCATTTTAAATTAACATATATTCAAATGATTGAAGATGGGTACAATTGATTGGAGAAAGGTACAATTCAATTGAAGATAGGTTTAATTCGTCTTTTTGAACCTATCCTCAATTCAATTGCACCTATCTTCAATTATTTGAAGATATGTGCAATCATTTGAAAATACATTGTATGTTTATTTGGCGTTCCATAGTAATTGTCCCCGATTGTGCGTTCGTCTCGGCGAATAAATAATTGAAAATACGTCAATATGTTACAAGAATAGATATCAAGACAGTTGCTCTAGATAACAAGCGATATCTGAAGCCCTTGCTGTTTGTGGTGAGGCATATAGTTTTTCCTGTCCCGTCATGACGCATGCATTTTGAGTTCCAAGGGTAAGGCCAATTTTTATTTTTTTATTCTGATTTAATGTCATCACCTAGTGATTTCATTCTTTACAGAATTTGATCAGTTGTAATACCACGTCTAGTATGAGAATACATTGGAAGATTTAACAGCTTTAGATACCGAAGTCAATGTCAAGGTAACTCTTACTATTTAGATTAATGTTTATTTCCAACACCCAAATATATATAGAAAAATGGTTCGACAATTCGGTTCTAAGTTCATTTCTTATCAGATTTTGATAAAACTCTACCCAATGGTCCTATTTTTGAAGGCCCTATTATCTATCAATTTACTATTTTTAGAACATTTTTAAACAATAGATCTAATTTGTGTGGGAACAGGGACATTCGTGTAACTACATTGATTTTCTAGTTTCTTGAATTATGCGAGCATATTTATATGTAACCAAACTTGTCATCTTGAGAGCGGTTTTCAGATTACAGCAGTCAGTGCCACGTTCCACTGTACGCCTGTGATACCAATCACACGACGTTTGAAATAGAAAAATGGAATTGATTTTGTAATAACATTAACGGTCTTAAGGTAGTACTTGCTTTGTTCGTGTAACATTCAATAGAGCAGGAGTCTGCAGTAGATACATGTAGCTAGAGAGACTGACTGGCAGCTAGTACGAAAATTGGTCGATACGGTATGACGGAAGGCATAAGGCCTAAACTGCTAGCACAGCACAACGAAACAAAAAACCCTGCGATCCAGTCAAAACACATCTAAAAATAGACAGGACCAACACATATATCTGTCGCCGTGGAAATGGGAAATAGAGGCTCATTCTCTTCTCTGAGATACGTGGTAAGTTTTTAGCATGCTAAGTACATTTCTGATGTCGGAAGAAAACAAATATTTTGTGAGCGTGACTATTTTAAATAACAATCGGAATGTGTGTTAGATGGCTAAACGGATGTAAATTTGGTTAAACAGGGAAGCGAACAGGGTGCTCCATTTCATTAACGTTCTGGATCATTTAACGTGTACACACGAGGTACATGGTTTATCATTACAACGGTACGATTATAACTCGTGTATTTAGGGAGAGTGACTCATGTGGACACGTTTATACATTATTTATATACCTCCACATCACAGGGTCTAATTACACGCGGTATCGAACGACATATACATATGAACTACAATGGTTTACGTGTATTACACATGTGCACATTGAATATTTGATGTCAATGAGTGTTTTACAAACAAGAGTGTTGCTTAACGGATATAATTTACATATTATATACATGAATGTCTTAATGTATAGGCTTTGTCTTTTATTGCAATTGAAAGCATTCGCTAGGTACGTCATGTACGTAGACCTCTGTGCATTGTTTATAGGGAACCCATAGTAAGCGTGATGCTGACTAATATTGAAATATATGTTATATATGAAATGTCTTGGGAAGAAACGTGTATCAATGTCTAGGGAGGGGAAACGTCTGAGGATGAACAGGGGAAAGATCGAACCCTACATGGCAATTTGTCTATCATAAATCTCGTCACAATTACTTGTATACAAGCATTATATATCTAATACATAGACAATTCCCAGCTTGCCTCGTTTTTTAACTGTCTGGTTTTATCGACCACCTGATCATGACCTGGTACTTGAAATGGTGTATCATATCTGAAAACCAGGACTAGCAGGCACAGTTCAAGTGTTTTATAACAATACTGACATTATACAGCCCACGTACCGAGACCAAGTGGACGGTATAGTGTTGTATTCATAGCACATGCGTCTTGCACAATAATATACAATATATGAATTATCAAGATATAAATATATGAAACATAACATAGTTTTTTTGTGCCCAAAACCTGTGATAAGGGAGTGTCAACTATATATTAAGATAGCGCCGTGTTTACACGAACTACTGACATAAGATTTTTCTTACTACATTCGTTCATATTTTTAGAATATATTCACTTGAGCTCACGTATTCAAGATGAATTATTTACTATAATTAGCTTTCGGTTACAAGCTAACCGAGGGGATATGTAATTACAACAGCATATTTTATATAAGTTACTTCTGTTTTTTTTTATGTATTTTGTATTGTATTATTGTCTCATGGTGACTGTTTTCTCTGTTTTGTGTTGTGAAATGTAAATTTCCGATTTCCTGTCTTGATAAAGGGGCGGATCGCCCTGAAAATTTGACACATTTTCTTTGTCTGCACTGTCGTTATTACTTCTTTGCCCATATATCTATTAAGATAGATATTTCGCAGAGTGATTCTAAATTATTTACAAAAGTATATATCAAAATGCCTAGGACTGTATATATTGTACATTTATGTAGCACACACACATCTCCTTACACTTATATAAAGCATACATTCACAAGAATTCCCTCTATCTACCCGCACTTGTGTAAATAACCCATATAGCTGCTTGTTATATTGATCACGTACGATACTTTTCTGTATGTGGGGAGGGCCGATCGATTTTGTCACCTTTGGTTTTATTCTAGAGGTAGTCCTTTTCCGCTTACATGTTTTAAGTACCATTTCGATTATTGGCGTTCTGGTGTCGGATATAAATATTGATCCTGTGACATTTCGATTGACCTGTGGGTAGAGCACATACCCTAGTTATATTTAATCATAGATCGTTTTAAAATGATAAACTACCGTCTTCTATCTATATTCAGATGTCCTCTGTCGTGTTCGTATCACCGTGACCTTCCACTTCACTGATCCAATTTGTATGTGTAGGCGTATCATATTTCAAAAAAACCTACCGAAACACTTGTACGATCATCTTACACTAGCACTCATGCCCACGTATACGTAAACATGTCTGGATGAAATTTAAAACCGCCAGTCATCACATGGAATATTTACATACACCAAGATTATATAAAATAACATGTTTTTTTGAGGTCATTGATTATTGTTCAAAGTATGAGCAGCTTCAAACTGAAAAAAGTTCATATTTCAATATTTTTAAATTCATTTAGTAACGTTAATGATGCACTCCTGTTGTTTGTGATGACAGATTATGGGAATCTATTATTATTTTTATGGATTATGCACCTTGACTTGTGTGTTTACGTTACATTTAAGCTATATTTTCTCCTGTACACCTTGCTGTTAAACATCGAGACGGTCTGATGGCGTGCTTAAATAGTGGCATCCTGTGACTACTGATGAAAAGCATTGTAGGCTTTATGTGATCAGAATGTGATGATTTGAGGTTATAAAGCAATAGCTGGAAAATACTTTTCTGCCAGTCCTCCAATAGAGCACAAGCATCAGGACTTCCAATACCACGCAAAGTCCTTGTTCTCCTATACAACATTGTATCAAAACACTGCTTCTCCTATATAAAACGGAATCATGATCCTCAAATATAACTCTTTATAATGGTTTTTCCAATAAGATATGAAACAACACAACAAAAAATCCTTGTCCTCGCTTAGAATTGATCCTGAAACATAAATCGAAATTCTGATCCCTGAATTTAATTCTAATCTTGATTCTCATATTTAAAACAAAATCCTGGGCCCTCAATATAACACGAAACTATTGTCCAACATCCTTCCAGTTGTCTTCTAAAATCCTCCAATATTATACGTAATCCTGGTCCCTAAGTATAACACAAAAATCTCGTCCTCAAAACAGCACGATTGTCTTGATTCTCCAATATATCACGAAATCTTTGTTCCTAAATGTTACTTAAACTATTGATTTTGTAATATAACAAGAGATCCTGTTTATCCAATATTTCACGAAATTCTGGTTACAAAATGTTAAAATACGAAATTCTGGACCCCAATTGAAGCCAAATCCTTGTTTTCTAATTTAACATAAAATCCTGATTATCAACTGAACACATTCACCACCTTATCCTCAACTGTACCAAGGAAAGCTGACCTTGCACCATAACACGGATTCCTAGACTGTCTATCTCCACTATATCACATTAACCTTATCCGCAATTATACCAAGGACCGCTGATCTTGCACCATAACACGGAATCCTAGACCGCCTATCTCCACTATAACACATTCACCAACTTATCATCAACTATACTAACGAAAGCTGACCTTGCACCTCAACACGGAATCCTAGACCGCCTATCTCCACTATAGCACATTAACCTTATCCTCAACTATACCAAGGACCGCTGATCTTGCACCATAACACGGAATCCTCGACCGTCTATCTCCACTATAACACATTAACCTTATCCTCAACTATACCAAGGACCGCTGATCTTGCATCATACCATGGCATGCTAGTCTGTCTATTTACTACATGTAGTATATAAAAAAAATCTGTTTCTCCAATATAGCACACTAACATTATCCTCAATTATACCAAGGAAACGCTTATTTTGCATCACAATTTAACATGGAATCCCAGTCCTTACAAATACTACTATATCACGATATACTGCTTCTCAACTATGAGATGAAATCTGTGCCCCCTCCTGTTGGCTATTTTGGGAACATTTACAAAAACAGATGATGTGACTGATAACATTTACATATGAATAAAGAGTATATCCAGCTACACAGACTGATGTGTATTGTTCACTCTCAAACGTTACCAACTAGGACCCGGAAGCCTTCTAAAGCCTCACAACATTAAGAATAACTACCTCAAATACGGTTCACATTTCAAAGAAAAAAACAAAAACTGAAATTCAATATTAATATTACATACATGTGTGTGAACTTACAATGATACCTGTTAAACAAGTTTTACTGAACCTTTCTGAAACTGCCTTTTATAAATTCAGTAGCCAATTTGTAAGCTGACCACACAACCTTGTTCTGGTGAATTCATCCGTTTCTTTCCATGTGACTGACTGAATTGCGACTAGATATGAATTATTATATATTTTCGTTTACCACATGGGACGGAGTAAACAATATTGACATGTATACGGGTATGTTGTCATCGCATGGGATTGTCTATGGTGAGTACCTGTCGTATCCTTACCCCACAAGTTAGTATAAAATGCCGTCAGTATTGACACGTAAAGGGTATGCGGGGTTATGAGACTATAATACTGACCTGAAGATGGGGGGTATTGTCGTTGGGTATGGGGGGTTATGAGACTATAATACTGACCTGAAGATGGGGGGTATTGTCGTTGGGTATGGGGGGTTATGAGACTATAATACTGACCTGTGGTTGGGGCGTATTGTCGTTGGGAATACGGGGTTATGAGGCTATAACACTGACCTGAAGATGGGGTGTATTGTCGTTGGGGGTACGGGGTTAGGAGACTATAATACTGACATGAAGATGGGGTGTATTGTCGTTGGGTATAGGGGGTTATGAGACTATAATACTGACCTGTGGATGGGGTGTATTTTCGTTGGGAATACGGGGTTATGAGACTATAATACTGGCCTGAAGATGGGGTGTATTGTCGTTGGGCATACGGGGTTATGAGACTATAATACTGTCCTGAAGATGGGGTGTATTGTCGTTGGGCATACGGGGTTATGAGACTATAATACTGACCTGTGGATGGGCTGTATTGTCGTTGGGTATACGGGGTTAGGAGACTATAATGCTGACCTGAAGATGGGGTGTATTGTCGTTGGGTATACGGGGTTTTGAGACTATAATACTGACCTGAAGATGGGGAGTATTGTCGTTGGGTATACGGGGTTATGAGACTATAACACTGACCTGAAGATGGGGTGTATTTTCGTTGCAGAAATTAGCTACTGATACCATAATGATTGATTTTAAGAAAAATTATGCTTAAAATTGATCCTTATATCATATCCTTGAGTCTGGCTTACAGCTATATCATATCCTTGTGTCTCGCTTACAGCTATATCATATTCTTGTGTCTTGCTTACAGATATATCATATCCTTGTATCTGGCTTACAGCTAAATCACATCCTTGTATTTGGCTTACAGCTATATCACATCCTTGTGTCTGGTTTATATTTCGTCTTTGTGTCTGACTTATATTTTATTTACACTTTATCCCATTTGTCTGGCAAATAGATGAAATATACCCTGGTGTCTTACATCTATTTTATATTCCTTTGTCCGTCTTACAGTTGATATCTGTGAATGGATTACACATATTCATATTCCTAGGCGTGTCTTAAAGCTTAACTATGTCTCTGTTACTAGTAACTGATATAATTGTTTATTCCTGGGCTTGGCTTACAGATCTGTTTTATCCCTTTGTCTGACACATAGCTTACACACAATTAAGATCCTGCGACTTGCTAACATCAATTGTTTTATTTCTTTGGCTGGCTTGCAGTTTTGTTTAATTCTGTGATGTGACTGGCTTATATCTAATTATATAATATTTGTTCCTATGGCATATGACAGCTACGGTAAGAAATCACAGAGAGTACCTAAGTGTCAATAAAACCATATAACAAATTCAAAATCGAAAAAACAAGGCCATACTTTAACAAAGGAAATATATACATGGTTACCATTGGACAATATACAAGGAGAACAGAACTAGCGTTCCGGAGGGGTAAGCGTCTTATGTATAGCTGTAAGAAGCAGGATACAGGGATTTAATATAGCTGTTCGTCAGTCACAGGCTTTACTATCGTTCAAAGTCAGACATAGGGATATGATATAGCTGTAAGTCAAACACAGTGATACGATATAGATGTAAGTTGGTCACAGGAATAAAATATAGCTGTAAGTCAGTCACAGGGATATAATATAGCTGTAAGCCAGTCACAGGGATATAATAGAGCTGTAAGTCAGTCACAGGGATATGATATAGCTGTAAGTCAGTCACAGGGATATAATATAGCTTTAAGTCAGTCACAGGGATATAATGTAGCTGTAAGTCAGTCACAGGGATATAACATAGCTGTAAGTCAGTCACAAGGATATAATATAGCTGTAAGTCAGTCACAGGGATATAATATAGCTGTAAGTCAGTCACAGGGATATAATATAGCTGTAAGTCAGTCACAGGGATAGAATATAGCTGTAAATCAGTCACAGGGATATAATATAGCTGTAAGTCAGTCATAAACATATTACCCCGAGTGTTTTTCTTTGCCTTACCCAAAGTGCAAAGGGACATTCATCAACCATCCTCTGCTGTATCTAGCAAACAATGGCAGATATGAAGCAGAAACTAATACTAGTACAACTAGGAAGTGTTCTTGTTTTGGAGCGCCATATCACAGTGTGTGCTTTTATTCATGCATATGTAGATATTGCAGATACTATTTCATTTATTTTATCATAACGTAATCACGTTTTACAGAAAATAGAAATCAGAACGTGAATACTTTCATTATCGTGGGGCGATATTGGTTCAGATCACTCCATCTATTTTTCCAAAAATGAACTTGTGACCAATTTATATCAGATAAAAAGAATAGATTTGTAGAAGACGTATATTTTACAAATGTTTTCAACTAATTTGGTGTTCTTTAGTTTCGAATTAATAGACACATGTTCAATTTGCCAAGTTTTTGCTCTTCAGACTGCTGACGTCACACACGTGACCCGATGACCTGTCCAAGATGATGTTTAAAACAAGATGGCGGAAGAGTACCCTGTGTCTGCTTGCAGTGGTCATGGTGGTGGTCATCCTGGTGATGAACATACTGGACGTTCCCTTCGGCCTGCTGGACAAGGGTCTCCAAGTGGAACGTGATCCACTACTAGCTTCTCCTGGTAAAGTCAAGACCGACATACTTTAATGTTTCAATTTATTCATTTGATCGAACTTTATTTACACGATATGGAAGCCTAAAGACGCTAAAAGAAGGTTTACCTATAAATTCACACATCATGGTCAGCTAAAACAGATTAATCTATATTTTCCAAGTACGGTGTCTTTGTAGCCTTGCATGGGGCTTTTGTTGTTGAGAATATAGTTGTATCGATCGAATGAGAAAGCTTTCTCTGTAGTTTTGTTTGGATGACAGTGTTATGCTCGGTGTCTTGTTTGGCGTGAATTCTTTGGATGAAAAATCACATTGTCACATTGATCGAAATTCTAAATTTTCCATCGTTATGATTGGATGAGAAAGAATAGTATTAAATGTCATTGCATGATACAACTTCCTCCCCCTTACGTAATTTTCTTAGCTTAGAACGAAATGTACTCTGTCACCGTCACCATACAAATGAGCAGTAAAATGAACGTACATTTACGTGTTGCAATTGTGCTAGATGACAATCAAATTCTCAAAGATTAGCCACATCGTCGTGGTGTAATGTATTTCTAGTTCAAATTGTCGTTCATGAATGAGCATGCTGACAATATCATCACCGTAAAAATCATCTCATGTCTGTTGGCAACATCCTAACAGCAGTTCCCCGGCCTGTTTTCCAGTTTTAAACATAATGTTTTAAATGTCTTTGAAATGTGAACCTCAAGTTTGGCATGAAAAATAGGGGTTTACACAAGCAAGTCAAACGTTTTGAAAATAGGTCACTTTAGACTATGATGGAGACTCTAATTTTTCTAGAAAAAAATAATTAATACAGAATGTTTCTAATTTCACATTGAGTTTAATACGTGTAAGTGACTATGCCGTACATAAATGTTTTAATCGTATGTTTACTGCAGTTAAGATTTTAGAAAATTCTTTTTGATAAAGTAGGCTGTTTTTTATTTACCATTGTAAGAGCTCCTGTAGAGTTTAGAGATCGACTGATATGCCATATATAGATTTGGCTAGGTTACAATAATCATATATTGATGTCACTGACTCTAGAAGGTGCCTATCATAAGAAAGATAACTAACCTAAAGTGTAACCGTATTAAAGGTATACTGATGAGCGCTGTGTCATGTCCACGATACAATCCGCCGTGTTACTTATATTTAACAATTCTATATTTTAACAGTGAACAGGAGAGCGTTAAGTATATGCCGATGTCATGCTTTATTTCTCTAGCTGTCTACATGCAGCTTCCAACTAAGATGGTTGTAGCTTAGAAGATATAGTAAGATACTGAGGTAGCATATTTTACCGATACATAAATGTAAAACGATCGGCTTTGTGACAATCATGAAAACATGAACTTGACATGGTACAAACATTATAGCACATTTCCTTCACTATATTTATAACATGTCTAGCTCAAATATTATACAACACAATGTTATGAAATGGCATAGCATGTAAAGTTCATACATCAATCTAAGCAACTTTGTTTTCCTGTTCACAATCTGCTGAAATACATCTCTTCAGTGTTTAAGTATAATTATCTTAGTTGTGCATGGCCGCCTCCATCTTGATTTGTGGCCAGCGTGCTTCGCAGCTAGTAAAAGAGAAATTAATATCTGCATGATTAACGTTTATAAATACGTCATTTCTTTTCGTAACATTTATTTTGCTTGCAAAAGAGATTAATATACTATTATACCGATATTCTATTTGTCTGCTAAAATATCAGCCTTAATGCCTCATTAATGAGAAATGTATCATTGCTATGTACCATTTTAACAATTAAAGTACAAGTCCAATATATCCAAATTAAATATCTGAATTCCAATGTTCACTTGAGGTTTCTAAATACATGAATGACTTATAAGGGGTTAAGGTTTGACCAACCATACCATGATTACAGGGGCTAATTTAAAACTTGACGTGTGGAATTCCAACCACAAAGTTAAATGTGGTAGACTTCACACAGTTAGCTGTAGTTGATTTCACACAGTGGCAGATGTTACAAACTTTAACAAGGTAAATTTCACATAGAAGGATAACATTTTGATTTCGCACAGTTTTACCTTTTAAATTTCAAGCATTTGAGCATAGGTAATTTCGCTCAGTTTTACTTGGAGGTATTTCAACATTTTTACTTCTATTGTTCTTATGATATCCTTTTCATATTTCATTTTATAGTTTCCGTTCCTGTGATCATTCCAGAAGTTGAAGTGTATACATTCCAGGAAGTGACGAAATGGACACGTGACTCAAACGTGTGCGCTGCCATAGACAATAAGATATACCATGGAGATTTTTTCCGTGTTCCTTTAGAATCTCAGGTTGGTAGCTTATCCGTGTTTATCCATAATCCAACTAAGGATGGACTCTCCGGGAAAATTTATAAGGAACGAAGATGGGAGCCGAACATTCTGAACGTCATACTTTTGTTCCTCAGAACTGACGATGACACAAATTTTATAGACATTGGAGCAAATATTGGCCTACATGGTTTGCAAATCGCCAAGTATGGACGCAAAGTTTTAGCTTTAGAAGGTAGCATGTATAATGTTCAGCATATATGTGCATCAACACACTATGGGCGCTTCCATGACTACGTAAAGGTTATATATAATGTTGTAGGAAAGGACCACAGTATGTCTAACATAATACTCGGACGCGGAGGGGATTTGACCGGAAATTTTGTGAACATATCAAATATAAGAAAACAAAAGTTCAAAACTGATGGTAGGTATTCGTACAAAGAAACATCCGTTTCTGTACCAACTGTGATGCTAGATGATTTAGTTACATGGGAACACTTTGAAATGTTCAAGAAATCGTTTATCAAAATGGATGTGGAAGGTTCGGAACACTTTGTAATGGAAGGCGCAAAACGGTTTATGCAGAATTCCATTATAAAAGGAATAATAATGGAATGGACATGGCATATAGGTCAAAGTTCATCAGAAACGATACTCAGTATAATGAAGTCCTATAACTTTCAACCTTATGACTTCGCAAACACCAAAATCACGCGGAAAAAATTCTTTACTCAAGACAGTGTTACAAAATTGTTTCGAAGTTTGAATCCCAATGAATCGAACGTTTGGCCGGATAATGTGCTCTGGATGCCTGCATCATGATCATTTCTAACATATCAGATTATGTTGGCGATGTTCTATAAGCAAGAGTTTTCTGTCTCCTTAATGTCTGAAATACATTCTCAAAGAATAATGTCTCCATGTAAAGCTGTAAGGCGCATGCTTTTGCTTACTAATCCAGCAACGCTGCTTATCATAACGTCATCAATGCAATCAAGTCATTAAGTATAATCTCCCAACAGGTGTATGATGTGTACTCAGAATGTTCTAATGCTAGATCTGATGAGTATAAACCCTAGTTGCCAAGCGTGTATTCGTGTTACAAATGTGCTATCATGCTATAAGCGTATTGTAAAGTGTTACAAATGTTTACATGAGTTACAAGTGTGTACAAGTGTAACAAGTATGTACTCGTGTCACAAGTGTGTTTGCCATGCTACATGTGTGTTACACGTGTGTGACAATTGTGTAATTGTTCCAAGCGTATCGTCGAGTCATCAGTTACATGAGTTACAAGTATGTACCGGTGTTACAAGTGTGTACTCGTGTCACAAATGTGTACTAGTGTCACAAGTGTGTTTGCCATGCTACAGGCTTGTTACACATGTGTGGCAATTGTGTAATTGTTCAAGGCGTATACTCGAGTCACCAGTGTGCACTCATGCAACAAGAGTGTGTAACAAATGTTAACATGTGTTACACGTATGTATAAGTGTTACAAGTGTATACCCATGCTACAAGTGTACACACCATGCTACAAGTGTGTTACGTGTGCTACAAAATGTTAACATGTGTGACAAGTTTGTACAAGTGTGTACTCGTGTAAAAAGTGTATAAATTTGCAATAAATATACACGTCACATGTGCTACAAGTAGTTTTGTTGTAAGTGCGTATTTGTTTATAAAATGTAAACACATGATCTCTTCATGTTCCATTTACATATTGATGAATATAAAACAACGATACATGACCTCGTGCTGTATATGAATATGTAACACATTGATAGACAAATCATGGATGAATGTGTCTGTATATCACATACGTCTGTACAGTGAATGTGACATATATATAAACACGTCACTGTTTAACACATGTGTAAAGACAGTGTATGGATTATATCTGTAGATATTCATGTGTGGATCTTTAACACACTATGGATACAATCATCGGTACGCGTATTCTAATGCATGTTCCAGCTCTGTAAGTAGTTTATTGGTACACATATGACCATAACAGTTGTTCATATTAGTACTAATGTCATGATGGCAACTTAATTGATTCAATAATTTGTTCGCAGGTTGATATACATTTTGCTTTTATGTAATTTATTCTGACGTAATTATTCGTTATGCTAAACTTTTGATTTACTCAATAGTCACTTTAAAATAAAATATCTTCAAACCTGCTTAAAAAGTATCCGTTCCTTCAAAACAATTAGAATCCAAACATATTTAATTAGTATTTCACTCTCATTATCTATAAAGATAACCCTGTCCTAAGCATATCTATTAATACAGGAATGAAATGAGGTAACTGTTCCCGAACGAGTTATGTTTAGTTTTCCCAAAGGGAGATAAATCGTACGATGTACACTGCGCTTGCTTACGTTTGTATGACCTGTCAATAGTTTTGAAGTTTTATGAAATATATTAACGGCTCATATCCTGTTTGTTCATTATGGCCAATGAAACAGCTCTCATTTCTGCAGGAATATTTAATTTATTGTTGCTTCATTTTCTCTTGGATAAAATATTAAAAGACCGTATCATATGAATACGTTGTTCCTACTTGTATTTAGCTTCACATGAGTAAATCAAGACATAATTAAATGCAAAATCTTCACGCCTTAAAGCTGTTTCCCGTCTTTTCTCAGCCTGGGTTTGGATTGATATGATATGTATCTAATTTTCTTTGTGTACCTTGATGGTTGCAATATTTTCTGTACAGTGTGGTCAATTTCAGTTCACTCAAGCTGTGATGTCCTGAATTGAAGTGTGTTTAAATGACGTCATCAGTTCACAATTGGCTATCAACAGGGACATCTTTGTGAACATTCCATTAAAATATCTTCAGTTTGTAATTAATTGACTTGGTTTTTTTATATTAAGCATTTTTAAAACAACGTTTTACTTTGATACAATATTGAACAACATTATAGATATTTGTTCTTTGCATCAATGCATTCTTTGGTGGTTTTTTTTTATCGTTTGTGAGATGTTTTGAAATTGTTCAACGTTTGACACCGTAGTATCTGTTTGTACTGATAGACTGATAGACAATAAAATGAAAAGAATTCTTCTTAGAATTGAACCTTATATTAGAAACGTTTTATACAATATGGATATGAATTGTTGGCAATGAATGAGCTAGGAGAACATAATTGTCCTGCTGCATCACAATATCTGATAAGTGTATGATGTGACTTATGTGGGTCTTTTCTAGTCTTTTTACAATGTGTATAACGTGGGGCTTTTCCATGGGTTACATCTCTATTCTGATAAGGGATTATTGAGGAAATACAAAACAAATGTTCACATATATTATTTGTGATATTTTTTTTTATATCTCTTTTCTATGTTTTTTACTTATTGTTTACGTAACACACCTACCGTTATACGACGAATGACCGTAATGTTGTGATGAGCAGTTTTTACCTTGCAGTCAAGAATTGTATTTATACATTTGTATTGCTGTTTGCTTGTTGATGCATTTTGTAATTTACCTATATGTGTAAATAGAAAAGGACAACGATGAAGTATTCAAAAAGGGCCAAAGAGTGGAGAGATAGAGAGAATAAAAATTTGAAATTAGGACTGAAATTCTGGGTTCCTTTGTATCCACTATTGAGAGGAAGCTAGTATTAATCTCTCCAAGCATAAGGTAGGGGCAGCTGCTAAAGTCATGTCGCCCAACACTGTATTGGAACTAGGAGATGTAGAAAAGTGTATACCATATGTGTCATCAAGATACACAAAGCAATATTTACAAATGTCGATGTCCTCTTCCTACATCAACGTAACAACAGGCTTATTAGTTGATACGTGTAACATCTTGTTGTGTTAACACGACATACTCGTCTGTATTATTTATTGCAGTTTTTATAATTTTGGAAAAGGCTTTACATCTTGCTTTAAACAATAATTGAGCTTGTGACCGAATTACATATCTTGTGACCTAATTACATAGGCTCTTACAACACTAAAAATTCGATATGAACTTGTCAACTAGGCAGCAAACAGTTTAATATGAAAAGATCTATTGAACGTATATATTCAAAAGTTGCCATACTGACGCGACGCTTATATTGCAAAAATGAAAAGTCCTTTTACAGACGCTTACAATCAAAGGTCTCAATGCAGCCGCACGCACTGAAAACATAGGTAAAGGATCCCTGAAATGTTGCTTACATTTATAATTTTATAATTTTATAAGTTATCGTAACAGACAGTAATATTGAAGATACCTGTATTATAATTCCTCAACCGACGACTCGTACATTGTGTGCGTGTGTTTAGGGTTCAACGTCCTCGCAACGGCCAGGGTCATATGAGGACGGTTGCTTGTGACAATCACGATACTATGTAAATAAGAAAAGAAAAAGATTGAGATCCCAATTTGACATCAGTATGACATTCCTATAATGACGATACCAGGTGATAACGGTACCTCTTGAAATGCGAATGTCAAGGACGGTGCTTTTCATTGAAAACTGATGTTCTCTTTTGGTATTTTTATCAGATAAAATGTTTTGAGTTAAGTTGATGCAATATGTAGCTTATTATATCATCTGACTTCTTTAATGAAATAAAAGAGTGTCATTTTATAAAACCTGCACTGATTTGTTGTATTTTTTTGATAACATTGGCGGATCCAGAGACCTATCTGGGGGGTTTCCATGTGGGGAAAAATTTAGGAAAAATTGAAAATACATGATTTTTAAAGAAAATTATCATGTTGCCCAAAAAACCGCTGGATCCGCCACTGGATGATAAAAAGAGCTTACGGACTGACAGATATGTATTAGGGAAGGTGGTATTGGTGTTCGTTGTGTACGTAACATGTTACGTCTGGTGGACATAGTATTGTTTTGTTGAGAGTCAGTGTTATTATATTCAATTTAAAAGATTTGTTCACATTTCTTTTTACAGTAAATGGGGAAAGATCACGAATAATTTACAGTGTACATACGACAAATGGTTGTTTTATATCTGTAATCAATACTGTGACATTAAAACTAACGAAATAAAAAACCAAACACCTGCTATAACCATTAAATATATGGAATTTAATATCGAACGTACATATAGCAAGAAACATGATTTTATTTGTAAACTAAAAACAAAACATTTTACATCAAATCATCAAGTACTAGCAAATACTAGCATGCTATTGAAAACACTTGACATATCAAATAGTGTTAATTAAACTAAAAGTGCAATATATACTACGAGTTAATAATTCCAATAACAGAACACCGTTGTGACACATGAGTATATCTCTACTAACAAGTCAGCACCGCAGTTCCACATCACATAAAGTGCTAAAGGCCAAATCGATAAAATATGTTTACTAGTTAATAGAGTGTGATATGTTCGATATCCCGTTCAATTCATTTGTGTTCAAACCACATCCATAACATATTAATAGGATACATTGTCCCTGTTCTTTAACAAAACGCTGTATTAGAAAGCATGCATACGTATATGATGTATATATGATTCTATGATAAAGCATACTGATACATACACGTGTTAAACATGACGTTATATTTGTGTTATTGATGGCTGTATTTCATACAAAAGGTGTATAATAACGGAGTTCTGTAAATGGGAATGAATGTCTTATTATGATGTACTTAAGATAAACACGATTAGATCAGCGTTGTACACGTATCTAGTCCATTTTAAACACTTAACTTGATCAACCACGATAGTTAGGATGATCAAGTTAAGTGTTTAAAATGGCAACACTAACACCAATACGTCACATCGTTCTATATGTATCTGTTTATCTCCTAAAACTCACACCTTATAATTAGATATGTTCATCATGTGGTTAGCAAGGTATGTTTATACAACAAGTATCACGTGATCGGCGTTCGTCCTAGTGCGTCCACAATAACGTGATGAACTCCTTTATCGTACATCAAACAGCGGTTGTCCTTTTAGTGGGAAGTACAGGATAAATTTGGTTTAAACAAAAATTGAACAAGTCTGAGAAATCTAAATAAAGAGAGACGGATAAGTTAGTTAAATAAGAATGTATATCGAACGTTATACAACAGCCCGTATTTCGGTAAATTTTCTTTGCATTTTTGTTCTGCTCGAAATGAATGTATCATAATTAGGCTACAAAATAAGCATAGTAATCTCATGTGAAAACGAAATTATCACTGGGCGAACATTGATTAATCTGAAGAAAGGCAAACGCTTGTCAAACGTCGTTTGTATTTTCTGTTTAGTATAGAAGGCTTTTGTTTATATGGATATCACGTCCTACTTATTGTGTAGGTGCAGCCTACGTTTGCAGATCGAATACTGAATTACAAAATATTTTTATTTATATCATAATACTAGGATAATCTTCGGCATTAGAAACCTAGGCATGCTTAAGTGGACAACTTTGTGTGTGTATAAGCCTCCCTCATCGAGGCATATCCATGTTCTTTATGATCATAGTGAACTATTGGAATAATTTTATGTATTCCGGTAGAAGTGTTTACATATTAACACCATGTGGTGGGGGCGGGAGGGGGGATTCAAGGACGTTACTATCAAGAAAGGAAAAGTTTACTTACGATGGGAAAAATCGAAAACTTCACAATTAACTTATACTTGAGTAGCAAGCACCGGCCGGTGTGGTCAAAAGATGTCTTGTTATTTAAAGACAGCACAACGTCCATATTTCTGAATGTAAATTTGAAGGATTTGGCTAGTTTTTTGTTACCTGTCTTCTAAGCAGATTGACGATGACTATTGGCAAATTTAAGGTTGCCATCACAATCTCTTTAACCCTTAGACTGCCACAGGGCCGATTTGGGCCCATCTGATTTTTACGTTGACTGCCGCAGGGCCGATCTGGGCCGATTGGCTTTTAACGGATTTTGACGTCACGCTCGGCATTGTTCGTGACGTCATCAGTTCATGTGACATGAGACGATCTGGAAACTATTTGTTCTGTGAGGCAATTTATGTTCAAATTTCAATCATGTTATAAATTGTATCGGCATCGCGGACGCACATATCGTATACCAATAGAAAGCGGAGAACCTGATCTTGAAGCTCGTATTTAAAAAAGATGACATGCTTTCCCCGTTTTCTGAAATACCCGTTCAAAGAATAAAGGAAAAAAAACCAAAATCATGACACCAAAGTATACACTGCGTGTACCGTTTCCGGCATTTCACGCAGTTGAATATTCTAATTTGATCTCCACTCTCCTTTCTGTTTCGGTGTCAAGTGATAGAGTATGGGTACTATTTATATATTTATCTATTTCTCTTGGACTTTCTGTAAAAATTCGGAGCAACGGTGTCAGTATATTAGAAACCATTCGCGGACTTTCGTGCTGTAAGCGATGTATTTAAACTTTCAATTCCTCGGAGATATGACGTTGGATACGGCTAGTGGACACATGGCACAGACAAGGTGTCTAATCCCTTATACACAAGATCTGGTATCCTTTTTTTAAAGTAACTAAACTTCTGTCTTCTATACTGTAGCTTTCGGTGAAACAATAGCAAACAAAAACATTTTACAGTGATGTAAGCCTATTTTCCGTAGTAGATTTTCATACACACAGTAACCCCCACCTTAGATTCTTTTATTTTTATTTTATTTGTATAGCGACTGAGCCAGTGTATACTGTTGTTCAGATAAGTTGGCTAGATCAATAGTATAAGGATTTTTGAGGTCCGTTCGGACCCTGTTTCAGTTTTTTTACTTTTTATTTCATCTCTTTTTTTTCTTAAAAGTTACATAAGGTATGTCTCTTTCACTTCGCAGAAATGATTGACCAAGTCTATAGTCAGACTGGAAAAAGTTTCCAGTGCATAATTAGTACAGTAACAAGGGGCGCGTTCGGATTCAAATATATATATAATCAAATCAAGAGATGTGCTGTTTGCCGACCTTTTCATCAACTTTCGTCATGACACATACGTAAATTACGCTAGCGTACGCCGAGTTCTGTTAACATCCTTCCAATTTTAAAGGAGCTGTGGTTCTTTTAAGTCGCTTCAAACAGTTACTTATTTACGACCTAGGTTGACGAAGATATACGTGCCTCGGCGAGCAAGAATCAGTGAGAATAAGTTATTGTATTATGAACTTGAAGACGTCAATAAAAACACTGTGAAATAGTTAATATAATGTCGACTGAAATATTCGGTACTTTGTTTTGTTTGTCTTAGTTATGTTCACTGAATCAAACCATTGATAACTTACAAGAAGAATGTCTCACCTGTTGGTTGTCTCACAAATTCCTCATAAGATGCAAATAAATATTATTGAATAAAAATGGTTCAGCACCATGTTGGGACATTTGGACGCTACACAGGTACCACTAGCCAAATTTCAGTTTCTCTCTGGCTTTGGTGGACAACATTATCTAAGGTTTTGCTGGCTATGATTTGCTATGAATGGCGTTAAACATTTTTTATTGACGTCATATCAGTATCTAATATGTTAACAAACGTTGCCGCCCCAACCACCACCCCATCCCAACAAATTAATTAGGCTTTATGTTAGAATTGTTAGCGATCCGACAGTATCTGACTGTGATTAGAAGACGAATACAGAAACGAAATAGAGAAAATGACTCACGGGTTCCATGTGCACGTTTAACTGAACAATTTCGCAACTTTTTTGAAAATATGTCTTCGAAATTAAAGACTTCCACCCTCGATTTTGTACTGAGCGTGTAACCCTTGGATTTCGAAATTGCAGGAAATAGAGAGCATCATATATGATTGTGTACAACAGATTGTACACACATTCTAATTCGTTGTCGTACACTTAAGGTAAAATGTTCCACATCTGCAAGTTTCTACAATATACCTTAATATCGGCCGGTATAGCAACATGCGCACAAACTGCTGAATTACGTGTAATTATATTAAGTTATTGATAATTGTTTAAGCTTTCCATAGAGGTATAACATGTGGTTATAGGTGATCGTAATAGTTTTGTATGATCGTTTGAATATGAAGTAATTCAATGTATTTTCCCATGACGTTTCCAGAGTAAATGTAATTGGGTCTACGCATAACTTGTTGACGTCATAGTACAACGACGTCATGATAGGACATTTCAAAATCACGCTGAAATCTTGGCCTGACAGAAAATCAGGGTTTTCACTGTGGCAGCGAAAAGGTTAAAATAAATATGCTATTTCTTTGTGCGATATGAAGGTCGATGTTTTTGACAATGCTCATTATTGTGCCCTGTTGTTTTGTTGTCATGACCATAGTTCTTGCCATGAACACGTGGTATTACTTGGATTTGACCGAGATTTACATTGTGGGTGTCGTCGACGAAGCAGAAGATGCTTACTCTTCCGGAGCAGGCAGTCTTATTGTGCTTGTATTTTTTTCAATGGTCTCAATAAATATTTTTCTTCTGTTAATATACATTTTGCCCTATTTTAATTTTTCGATTTTAAGTTCGAATTACGATTTTGTTAGCACTTGATATTCTCTGGTAGTTTTATTAGTTAACTGAATACATGTATATTGGGTCAGTCACTTTATATGGAGTCATTGTGTTGGATTGCTGTTTGGTCAGAACGCAAAGAATGGAATATTTGGTTTTCTCGTGACGTTGTCAATCAACAACTGACCATAGGAAGATGTATACCAGATGTGTTCTTTTAAGGAATACTTCTTACAACAAGGGCAATAGAAATAGGTATGCTAATTCATGTACCGATATTTTTAGTGTTTAGTCAAAAAATATGCAGATCAAATCTGTACAGACTGAAAAATGAGATAAATAATGGGATTATCCTATCTGATGAAAAGCTTATGGATAACATATCTTAGCATATAAATAGTTAATGTGATTCATCAAACGTTTTCGTTTCTATAGAACAGCATATATACATTTCAACAGGAAAAACAAGCGATGATTTTTTTTAATGTTAGATAATGGTGTAAAATAGGACTTTTGCATAGAAAGTGCACCGGAAAATGACCTAGATTTTCACGTGACATGCTATATAACTGCACGCCATGGTATACCGAAAGTTCTGTAACTCGTGATTGTAAGGCCCCGCTTCCCCACACATGCTTTACACGCGTCACGAGTGCTGGTATTTCTTTACAGAACGTTTTAACCTTAAACGTTTCATGTGATGTTATTGTACTGTGAGACGTGACGGGTTACCGACGGCTATAAGTTCGTTATACATAAGACGTGAATTAGTGTAAGAACACAGACAAAATCACGGACTTTAAAGAACAAGGACCTAACAGGTAAGTTCCCTCCTTATCATTTTTATCACAAACTTATATGTTTTGATGCAGCAGTAGTTGCATCAGTAACGATTATTATTGCAGTTATGCTTCATTTCAGCAGATCACCTACATAATCATTGCAATATTTTTCCAGTTAGTCGATTTAAATTCTACATGTATATATGTGCGAAGCTATTTGTATTTTAATATCTTTTTATTTTACATTAGAAGAAGTTTTTTTGCAATACTGTCAAATAGAAAAATAATCATTTAACTAATGTATACCATAGCAATAGTAACAGCTTAGACTGTACACAGATAAGATATAGAGGTATAAAAGATAAATTGAAGTAATATTCACATCCTGAAATTCTACAGAAGTATAATGGATAAAACCTATTTCTTTAACATTGTAGTATGTTTAAAAAACATTTCTTTTATTTATTGTAAATAAACGGTACTAATGCAGTAATTTTGTATTAGTTTATCTTATATACGCATTCTACATTATCGTATGAATGACAATCATTTTTCTTTATGACGAACAATACCATTTATTCAACGAGTAAAATGTATATCGAATTATTTTTTATAAGGCCTCTATCTTAGATATTTAATAAGATATCATTTTTTATAAATTTTACGAAACATCTTGGTTACGCTTCAGTGATCTTTTATGATTTGTATAAAATATTCTGTAACATATTTATTATTCTTAAAAAATCGTTTTATTAGATATCTTTTGTAAATTTATTTTTAAAATATCTTGTAAAGGACGAAAATTTACTTTGAAAAAATCAAACTCCTGGATAGAAATGGTCAAATGCAGAGCATAACAGTGTTACTAAGTATTCATGCATAACATTTCCGTCGGTAGTAGTCATATGTAAATATCTAGGTCAATTACTTCTCTAGCGTGATTCTCATTCGTTATAAGATAGGTTATACAACTTTCGCTTTGGGATATCATTATATAGCCAGTATCATTTATTTTTAAGAGATCATATATAATAATTATCACATAAAGAAATCTGTCTAAAATGTCTCTAATAACACATATTTTTTAAAGGAAATAATGAAATATTTTTCATCTTTTATATTATATCTTATAAGCCAGTAAAACATTTCATTTACATAAAATATCTTAATACGTAACATATAAAATAATTAAATTCAGTATAGGCATTATTCTTCGAATGAATGCTTAGTTGGCTTGCTATAATGCATATATTTGTCATAAATAGCTGTATGGACGGCATTCAACCAAAAGGGATACATATACGGTACAGCACTCCAACAATGCAAGTCACTTAAGCGATTGATTCCAAACTGTCAACTGTGTTATTTGAAGCGGAGTGTTGTGTTTGTCATTACTTTATCACGTGACACCATTTGCACTCTTCTTGTGATGAATACAGCTTCGATCTAGTTGGAAAATATAGTACATATGCACTAAAAAGTCAATTGTAAACATATGTTTCAATACTAGTGACTGCATATTTCTATCTATGATACATCGAAGACAGTTTATCGTGATAATAACTGACAAAACATATTGCACATTATTTGTATCTATTTTTGCCAACTCTCTCAATTCTTTTATATTTCTTGCTTGTCGGCGTTATTAGTGTTTGTCCCTGGTATTGTTGTCTTCCACACCAGTATATTTATCATCGTTATTGGTATTTGTCCTCGTTATAATATCGATGTTTTTTCCCTGTTGTTTGTCTTTATTATCGTTGATTGTCGCTGTTATTACTGTCTGTTTCCATTAATTCTTGTTTATCGGCATTACAGTTGTGACCTATTTTGTTATAAGCCCCCGAAATTGTTGTTTGTGTACCCGAAATTGTTGTTTGTTGCCGTTATTATGCTTGTCTTTGATATTGTTGTTTGTCCTCGTTTTTGTTTTTTTGTCCCCGTTATTGCTTGTTTGCCATTTCATACGTCATTTTGTCCCTGCTATTGATGTGTGTGCTCATTAGTACTGTTCGTTCTGTTAATTGTTGTTTGTTCTCGTTATTGTTCTTTTCATGGGTGTTGTTGTTTGTACTCGGTTTTGTTATTCATTTCGGTAAGTTTTGGCTGTCACTGTTAATTTTATTTGCTTTTGCTAATTTTGTTTATTTGTGGTAATTTTATTTGTCCTTCATCATGTTGTGATCTTCGATTTCTGCCTTCGTTATATTCTGTACCCGTTATTGCTGTTTACTTTCGTTATTGTTCTTTGTCTCTTTTGTTGTTGTTTGTTTTCGTTATTAATTTTTGTCGTCGTAATTGCTGTGTAATTGTTGTATTTTCCCGGAATAGTTATTTTTCACTTGTTATTTTAGTTTGTCCGCGTTATTGTGTTGTCCAAAACAACTTGTTTGTCTTCTTTGTCGTTTTCCGTCCTTGATATTGATTTTTTTGTCTATGTTATTTCGTACGCCGATGTTACAGAATCTAAGCCCGAGACGGAGAAACCCGATCGCGCTCAGTTACAGGTAATTGTTTTTTCCTTCGTAACTTTTAGCTCCAAAACTATTCAATTTCGCTATAGTCTACAAGCATCTCATCCGTTGCCTTATATAAATAAGGTCACGTAATTTCTAAAGTTACGTTTTAATGTTTCTTCGTAACAAAATGTAATCTGTCCATACAAAGCGAAAAAACATATTTAACGGTGTAAATCATATTTGATTTACAACATAAGATATCTTCAAACATCGGAATTATAAACATAACAACAAAACATAATTCAAAAATATCATATGAGTGCTACTTGCATTAGCGCACGGATGAATACATCGCTGTGTGAAAATTCTGCGAAATGTCGCGTAAAGGTGACATAGAGATCGGACGAGACAGAGTAAATAAGCACTAGGTATCAGGTGGGATGTCCCTGTCTGAGGTGCATTTATTTTGTCGTTTGCATACTCATGATCTATGGATTAATCGCGAGGATGAGTGTTTGTTCCGTTGTTACTATGTTGTCCCCTGTACTCTCACATCCTCTGTTCTCGCTTCTTCTGATCTTACTGGTGTTTTGTTTTCATCATGACAAGGACAGTAACAGCAGCCGAGATGTCTACCAATCACGTGGTATCTAAGTCAATGCAGCACAGACTGGCTAACGATCCAATGTAAGTAAAATAATCATTTAAGGAAATGATAAACTGTCTCAATAAATAGAAAGGAAGCTACATCGATTTTTTAAAGTATCTGTTTTGATTACAATATCATATATATGATTTTGTAAAATATCTGTCTGAAGAATCTCCTTGATGAGATGAAAGCGCTTAAGACGTGTTGTTAAGATTTCGCTTTTTATAATTTCTTGAAAAAAAGTTACGACCAACGGATTTTTTTTCCAGGCTGGTGCTGAATAAGATGGCTTCCCAGAACGGATCTGTTAACTTGGGTTTGGTAACGTTATATTTATTCACAGATAATTAATTTATATAAAATGATGTCGATGTATTTTGTCATTGAGGTCTTCTTTCTAGTGAACAAATTTATGATTTTATTTAAAACATCTAAAGATGAAAACAATCATATAATGTTTGCCTATAACTAGATTTGTATATACGCATTTCTATCTCCTTTGGCAGGGATTTCCTAACTTCCCACCTCCGAACCACATCACTCAGGCTCTCGCAGACGCAGCAACAGGCGAAAATCATATGTTACACCATTATACCAGACCGTATGTGAGTAAATACAATTGTACACTTTATTTCAATACATGATTTCAAACCTTTAGGAAACTTATAACTATATTACATGTGGTTATAGGAAAGTGGCCGCCATATACTATAACGACTATGTTCACTATATAACATAAGTATACGTAGGGATGTTATTAAGGAAACATTTAACGAGAGAGACTGGCAATGGTTAGCTATTAGCTGTCAAGATTTTGAAGTTAAGTTATATTTCTTTCTCTTTATATATATATTGACTGGAAAAATAAGTTAATAATTATCCCCAAATTCAATACACATGAAATGATTTCCCGTACTTTATATTTACTAGGGTCATCCTCGTCTAGTGAATATCCTGGCGAGGTTGTACTCGAATCTCCTGTCAATCAGTCTGGACCCGCTTGACCACATATTGACCACTATAGGGGCTTTCCAGGGTCTGTCATCTATCTGTCAGAGCCTGATACATCCGGGAGACGAGGTTAGTGAGTGTACGAAAAAGATTGACAGAAAGATACCAAACGATGACTTTAAATACACGTGAATGTCACAAGAGCTGCACTTGTATGCTTTTGTTATGATATACAATTGGGACAATGTACATCCATTGACCAGGTAGTTTAGTAAGTTAGTGTGACAGTTTGACAATTAGAGGTCTAGGGTTTGAATCTTGGTCTAATTCCGCTGAAGTGGTACACTCAAAGCACTGCTGTCGATTATATTCAATTTTGTCGATTATACTGTATTTTGTTTATTTCATCTTGTTTTGTTTTATAAGAGTACTCCAAGGTAAGGTTTTCTTTTCAGAAATGATTTATCAAAGTCATTGCCATGCCGGAAGCAGTTGTTTCCACTGCTAGGTTACAGTTTTTGAAGCGGTACGGGGATCTTAAGTGTTACAAGCGTATTTTGTAAAAGCTAAAGATGTATTTTGAAGGGTTTCACATGTATGTGTCAGGCATTACACGTGTGCGTCTAAGTGATACATGTGTTTATTGTAGGTGATCCTGTTGGAGCCGTTTTATTCCCCGTACAGAAACATGCTGGAAATGAGAGGTGCTGTACCAGTGTTTGTACCTCTGCGTCCTGTAAGTAAACCCATATCAACGGGAGATAAACCCATATCAATTGTTAAGAATCTATGACACCTGTCATTTTGTTGTGCTGCATACTATACACGTGTCTGTTTAAGTATTGTTTTTAACATACACAACAAAGGAACTGAACTTAGCGTTATTTGTTATAGCGGGATATAAGACATATCGATTCGTATTATATTATTAGCCTTGATTCCGGCCTTCCTATTTAAAACTTATGGGAATCATTTCCCTTTCTAGTGATAGGAAAACTCCTGTATCTTTATTGGAGACGATACTCAACGTGGAGTAGTAAAGAACAATTTGGTTTGAATTGTTAATAAGTTTCAATCTCCTTTCCAGTACGACGACGGCAGTGGACAGAGCAGTGCTAATTGGGTGTTCGACAAGGCAGAGCTGCAAAATGCTGTGACAAACAAAACCAAAGCCATTTTCCTCAACACGCCTATGAATCCACTAGGGAAAGTAGGTTTACGACAAATTGTTACTAGTCATATATCGCGTTTTATTCCTCAAACTTATAGATCCAAATGGCAAAAACTTAGCGGTGACATTTTGAATCAAATGACACTATTTTTACATGATCTATTTCAATATTTTTACTAACTGAAACATACCGCGAATTACCATTGACATCACTGACTTCTATTACGTTTCTGATTCATAGATTCAATTTAGAACACCTCAGAAGATGCCAGAACATTCATTATTATCCTTTGTCAATCGATCGAGTTTAAAGGGGTATATTTTCTTGAACATTTAGGTATTTGACAGGGAAGAATTACTGGAGATATCGGACCTCTGTATAAAACATAACCTATTGTGTGTGACTGACGAAGTGTATGAATGGCTGATTTACGGCAGAAAGCAGCATATACGTATCGGTATGTAGTTAGACCGTGTGATTTACTAGTACTAGTTGTTCCGCGATTAGTATACTTCAACATCCTTTTATAAGTCTCTTCCTAAAGAGTTTGTTCGGCTCTCTTCATCAACAAACTCAACTTTTAAACCTTTTCTAGTGATTAATTTATGCATGCAAATTATATTCAGATCTTGTTAAAACTCATACAGTAAAATCTGTTTTTACAGACATAATAAAACTGTAAAAATAACAAACACAGTTTAAATTCGTAGATGGTCTTCATGTACAAAAATAAATATCTGATTATTAGCATATTGTTTATAGATATGTGATCTACATAGACAATTGTCTTGAAATCATATTTCATTATCTGTTTATTTTGTTTAAACATGTATGAATACTTGCTGTCGGCCATGTACTTTTATACATATTTATTTAAATATTACGATGCATATACACAATTTAAGTTGATGTAGTGTGAATTTTCGTATTTTGTTAAAACATATTAACACTGTTTATCTATTACTTAAAACAAAATGAAAAAACATGGAGTGTACTCAACAAAATTAGACCTGTATTGTTGTATCATAGTCACAAACATTTTAATTTTAGTTGAACATAAATTGACATGTACACGTATATGTATATCTCCTTCCCTTCTCGTTCTTTCATTTATGGGTCCTTGTTGACAATTTCCTCCAATGAATTCTGCCTTCTTTCCTTTCAATTTTGTTTCCACAAATCCAATTAGCGAGTTTCCCCAACATGTGGGAGCGCACCGTTACCCTTGGCAGTGCCGGGAAGAGTTTCAGTGTGACTGGGTGGAAGGTAGGATGGTGTATAGGTCCTAAACACCTGATAAAGGTCCTTCAGAACTATCATTTCTCCTCGATCCGGACCAGCCCAACTATTTCCCAGGTAAATATGAAAGATTGAATATACAAAATACCACATCGTCAAACGCTAGGACAGTGCGAAATATATACATAAAGACAGTCACGGCAGTACATTGTGGCGTCATTTCTTGTAGTTCCGATAGTATAACACTAACGTCCGAAGATTGCTTTTGTTTGACAAATGCAAATTATCAAAAAAAAAGAATTTATCAGCATATACACACATTCGGGTACTTGCAGCTATTAGCATTCGTCTCGAAACAGAAGAAAAATAATGTCGGTTATTACAAGACACATATTTGGAAATGACCGTTCCTGCTTTCTCTCCTAGGATAAAAATGTGCCAAAGCGTAAAGGTTTAGAGTAAAACGTTCACGTGGTTTCTACTTTTGTAAATACTATTAATTACTATGACCTATCCAGGAAGCTGTTGCTGTAGCGTTAGAGAAGGAAATGCTCGTGCTAAACACGCCAGAGTCCTACTTCTACACGCTGTCTAAGGATATGGAGGGGAAAAGGAACAGAATGTGCAAATACCTCGATAACGCTGGCTTCCAGGCCATAACTCCCGACGGTGGCTACTATATCATAGCAGATATATCATCTATACAAGGTCAGTCGTAATATTTACATTTCTACTGAACATTTGCTCAGTACATCTACTAACACATATGAAGTAGGTTATTTTCTATAACTTTCCAGTTTTCGTTTGAATACGTCAGCGCAGACAACCGTCCTATGATAGAATGTTTTCAATTTTCAAATGTTAAACAGCTAGTTTTTACCAGGATAACGTAATACACATACGTTGGCATCTACTGGGACATCAATTTGCACAATCTCAATATATTAGAAAATATTAAAAGAAATACAAAATCGATTGTATATTTAAGGATTGAATCATGTTGTGCCATATCCGACCAAACGATTAATTAGTTCTTCTTGATGTCGGTAAAAACATATTAGAATGCACATTTATAGGAATTGAACGGTTTTTTAATATGCATGCTGGTATGAACGCAACTCGGTTACATCTATATTGCATGAAGCCCGCCAGTATCTAATTCCAGGAGCGCAATCCTCATATTGGTTAAATACATTTATTTGTTTTATGAAAATTTTATTTGTGCACAAATAATATTTGAAACAATGCGAGCTTTTGAAACCACGTTTCCTTTTGTAAGTGTTGGAATTATGTTTGAGCTTATAAAAAGACTTTAGAGACAGGATATGTTTCTGATTTAATATAGCGCGTTCTGTGGGAAATGAAGAAAAAACAGACGAGGCGCTGGACTACAGATTCGCCAAGTGGGCAGTGACAGAAAAGGTATGTCTGAGTATACCACTGATACCACGTGATGTATCTCTTCTGGATGTAGCTTTGTAATGGACCAGAAATAGATAAAAGAAATTAAGGTACTTTCCGTTCATAACGGTTGCGGAAGTATGCTTTATTCTACATCATCTTTTATATATAATGATCTCCCATTAGAGAGCTATGAAATTGACACCCCTGCAGGATCAATTAGTTTTTTCATGAGCAATGCAGCATTAATGGTTTGTACCATAAAAGGTTTACAGTTTGCATGAGTAAAATTAATGGTTTATAGTTTAAAGGACTAATGGTTTTATACTCTTCTGTAAGATTAATTGTTTATAGCCTTCTAGGTAGAAGGTGTAAAGTATAGTATGACTAATTGCTTATATCTCATATACTTAATGTTTCATAGATTAAAGGATTACGGGTTTATAACCTTGCAGAAATAAAAGTTCATACTACTGTATGGTCATAGGTTTAAAGGATTGTTTGATTTATAGTTTACAGTTTGTACGATTAATGGTTAATAGCTCTGTATGGTACAAACTATATAACCCGGAGGATTAATAATATTTAGCTTATATGAATTATGGTTGAAAAAGGCTGTAAAATTAATGATATCGAAATCTTGTTTGAATTATGAATTCAAGATATTTCGGTTTCACGTTGTATAGCATTAATGTTTGATTGCTCCTTATACTAACTGATGTTCTTCTCCCTTTTCCTTTACATTATACATATACGTACTATTCTGTTGTATTCAATAATGTCTCATTTTCTAGGCTACCATCCTTACGTGCCGTGTATTTTACAACGCAGTTAAATAAAAATAAAAAATGTTTTAGAAATGTATATATTACGATTGCATTTATGAAAATAATAATTCCTGTCTTTGTTTCCAGAAACTATGTGTGCTGCCTATGTCAATTTTCTACTCGGAAAACCACCGTCACTTGTGCGAGAAATATGTTCGGATTTGCTTTGTGAAGGTAAACAGTTCATATAGATAATTTATGAGGTTTCTTTGTTTATAAAGTATTTAGCACTAACTGCACGATAAAACGTTAGGAAAATGACTAAAAACACGTTGAGCAATGTATTGAAATGCAAATAGCAATGCGACAGCGATTCATGCTTGTTCGTGTTCTTATTATGAATGCTCTCTTAATAAAATGGTATTGTAACTTAATTCTGTATTCATTGTCGTAATGAATCTCAGTCAAATATCACAAAGTTTTCCTGGCATGCAATGGTATGTGACGTGAAATAAATTAATTACTTAAATCTTTCTTAATGAGTTGTATAAATTATTATAAAATTACTTTAAGTGATTTCCATTAAGATTGTGTTATTTTTATTTTTATTTTATAGACCGATGAAACGCTAGAGAAAGCAAAGGAAATACTTGACGATTGGAAGCAAAATTGAAAAGGCATTTTGCTGGGAAATATTCTGCCAGAAAATGTTTGCTACTGACTTTACCCAAATCTCTATAACATCACCCATTCTCTATGTAGAAGAGTGGTATTTACAGACAGATTAGATTCCTAGTTCAAAGGCATACAGTGTATTTATAGACTGGCCAAATTGGCAGTAATAATCATTTGGCATCATAAGACAGGTGATGTCTTCAGCAAGTTTACCGAAATTATTGCCATGTAGTAGCTATAGACAGGAGCATATATTTATATGCAATAAGTTTATAAAGAAAGGTTTTTGCCGGTCTCCGTTATTTTATTTGTTTGAATTACTAGTATCTAAATACACTAAAGGCAGTAAAATACCCCACTGCGTAGTCTTATTATGTGTAAATACTATTATAAAAGCACGTCTTAATTAATATTGCATCAGGACAATGCATTTAATATTGAGGAATATAGGACGAAAGTACCTAGGAAAACCGTAAATGGGAAATACCACACATGTCCTATCTGACGTTTTCGATTTTAGGAGGTATTGCGAATAAAGATATATTTCACGAAGACCTCAGTTTAAATTAATTAAATCCATTTGCATTACCAAAGAGTGCAATCGTGGACGTCAGATGGACCACATTTTTGTGGTATTACAATTATACATTTATAAAATATTTTCACAAGCGTTTTGTATACGTTCTCAAAGTTTCTCATTATCCCTTTTTGATGACCAGTTTGGACCTGCAGAAGTTGAACCGACCAAAAATAGTGGACAAAACGTCGTCGAGGACGAATGAGTGACATCACGTTACCATATCGAATCCATTCTTGTTTTTTTCTACAGATGAATTTCAATGAAAATAATGAGAATATTTAAGAAATGTGACAAACGGAATCCTGTATTGTGTATAAATTAGAATAAAATTAGAATAACTGTTATCTTTGTACATGCCAAGTGGATACAGATGATGTAGTTTCATCCACGCTTTACGAATCACGGTAATCATTGTATTTCTTATTAATATTAGTGTTAGACCAACCAATCTTACATATATTGATACAGTTTATCTATTTATATAATATTAACTTTGTAGTTATCAGTTTATAGTTAATAAATATATTAAACCGAACAAATTATTTAAAAGGAATGATTTATTTAACGATGAAGCTAATGTAAACCGAAAACAACTCGATGCCCTGCATTGTTGAACTAATCAAATAAGATATGTATGTTTTAAATTAATTTATGCTAAAGTCTTCTTCAGGACAATAATATGAATACAACTATTGACATTTTAAAAAGTTTAAGTGGATGATAGCGTTTGCAGGTAAGATATTGCGACAATATGTGTGAGCGTGAATTTGAACATTATAGCATTGTCCTCAAGCCGGACAGATTATTAATACTTTCATCACTATTGCGTGCAATTTGTGGAACAGTTAGCTCCTTGTATTAACTAAATGATCCGGGCACTTCGCTCTCTGATTATGTATAAATCAACTAGTCTGTTTTTCGAAGTAATGAAACATGAACGGCTAGAAATTCAGAACCGAAATGGACGATTTCGAAAACAATTTCTGAAATAAATATTTGCCTTGTTGGTTTCATGATAATGTTTGTTATGAAAAATGAAAAGTAGTAATTAAAAGACGACTTGCAAGCAGTGTTCGAATCATTAATACTCACAGCAGAATGGTGGTGTCAAACTTTTAACTGAAGATTGTGTTTACCGAAATAAATAAAAAAAAAAAGACGTCAATACGACATTTATCACTAGGGTTTTCGAAAACGTCTATTAGTAGATAAGGCAGTATTCATCAATGCAACTCAATATAGACAATCAATAAATGTAATCTTTTTGAGCCCACATTATATTGATTATGTATTTCGTGGTCCAGATTGTTCATACTTGAAATTAATTTGTTAATTTTGCCGAGCCAATATAACTAGTCGAGATCCTCCCTCTTAATTGTCGACACTCATTTCTGAGGTAATATTTGCAAGTCCAAGATTTCATGCAATTTTCAATCTTTCGGTGTAACCATATAGAATGGCCAAAGAGCAAGCAGCGAGATAAGCCGACTATTTCAGATAATAAACTATGATCGCACGTGTTTAAGGCTGATGAGGATTTTTGTATATAAATATATTTTTATTATAAGAATGTTTTAAATAATAGCAAATTGATTAATTTCTATACTAAAAATATCATTTTTTAAATTAAAAAACTGGTACTCAATTTTATGTGGTCTTCAACTATTTTTGCAGCACAAATATTGTTTTATATATTTATATAATATATTTGTTTAGACAATAAAATAATATATTTACGTTTCATGGTGTTTTGAGTCTCATTATTCACTTAAAGAAAGGGCATCTAAGTCCAGTCTCAAGATATTTTGTGTAACATGACTTTATCATTGTGGTTCTCTGTACTGAAAGTGGCCCTGGTCACCATATTGGGGTTCTATACGATTGGTGGAACATTATTGGTGGCACAGTTTACACATATAAGCATGACTTTACTTCGTATGCAATACATCCAACATGAGCTGTACAGAACGACTTTGATTCAGGGAGATAAATATTACATTAGATAATATCATGAGTTGGGAATTATGAATGTCTACTATTTAACATTTACGATTTGTTTGATAAACTGGAAGGTCAATACTACTACTAATACTAATTCGAGGTTCTTGTATATATTGTTTCATCACAAAGTAGTTCGTAGGTCGTCTCAAAGCGGTTCACAAATTATTATCCGTGGTTATAGGGCCTCTGCAACCAGCCAATATCTTTCTCAACTCCCTGGGGGGCATACAGCCGGTACTGCCATTTCGGCGCGCACAGCTAGCACTCTACAATTCTTGCACTGCCCAGCTACGTACTCATTTACAGCCGAGTCGACGGGAACAAGCGGAGTGAAGTATCTTGCTCAAAGATACAACACAGTGCCGTGATTTGAAGCCGCAACCCTTCAGTCACAAACCCGGCGTCCTACCACTAGACTACCGTGTCCTCATAATGGAAAACACCAGTATAGGATAGAACACTTATTCCATAATTGTGCTTCTTCGTGAAAAAAAAAGTTTCAGAGAATGGCAACCCGTAATGGCTAGACATCAATAACAATATTTAAAATCATTTTGAATATTTCCATGAAGAATATCCATATTCAAGACATGCTGAACAGTAGATTAGATTGAATGGATAATGGTTATTATGACCTTTATAATTTATCTTGGATTTAAGTATGTGGTAAGAAAAAACAATCGCTGGGCGAGACATGTATCAGTGTTTGAATTAAAAAAAGGAAAGCATCACAATCATCCTACTAGTATTGTCATAATTGATTGACTCACTAAACGAGATAAGAATTAAGAAGGAGAAAAAAGAATGCTTTACATCAATTTGTTCTCCATGTTTTTACGATGCATGTTAACCACTTGCATATGCACACCTACACTGCACGTATGTGACAACTGCTGGCTTGTTTACGCTTCCAACTCTTAAACTTACCGTCTTCTATCACTAAAATACCTTTATTAGTCTTTGCATCATAAAGAAGGCCAAGAGTAAGTAGAAAATTGAAAATGGAAGGGAAATACATTGAAAGAAAATGACATCAGACCAGAAAGACAAAACAAGAAAGATAAGACCAAAATACATACAAACATATAAATAACCAGTTAGGTAGATACACTAAATACACACTCCATCATTCTCCTATTATGCGCTTCTGTAATATTCAAACTTATATATCATGTTTGTGTTTTACGTAGAGTTTTCCAGTATACCTTACCCGTTCTATTTCTTATCTATTATTTTTTTAAATTCTTTAACCATAGTATGATCAGACGAAATCCGTTTAATTCTTAAAACATTAAACACTTGATATCCAATATCGTATCATTATTAAATAGAAAGAGTCTGTGTTTTAGTGACTGTTGGAGTTGTTATATTGTCAAGAACATAAATCACAAAACAACGATTTCATAACACTTTTCTTTATTTAAAACATAAGATATAAAGTTGCGAATGGTACATGAACAAAAAGTAACATATTGCTGAAAAGAATGAAATGAAGATTAAATGCAACGCCCGTAAAATCATATAAATACAATGTGCCCTAAATTCCTTTTATTTTACCAAAGTGATTTCAAATTGATCCTTTTTAATGATGAATTCTTACCAGATACTATGATGAAAATATTAATTTGTGCTTTTAATTATCGCTGCCATGGTGACAAATCGAAAGTTTCATCAATATAAAAAATAAATATTCAGTCAATATTGAGAGTTTTCGCTTTGAATTTTTCTGAGTCAACATGTACTGTATATAGTTTTTAAGAGAAAACAATGGGAACATGACAAAAATTGAGGGAATACATACTATATTAATGCAGATCTCGTTTCTTTGGTAAGCATAAATAAAAACAGAAATGTGATGTATTTGTATCAGGATAGATTAAAAAAAATTAAGAGTTAGAAGTTTGAAAGTTCATTTAAAAGTGATTATGCCATTATCATACGTTTTCTATCATCTAAGGCAGTTTATAGTTTTCATTTTTTTTCATTTTAATGAATCACACTATTTAAATATATATAGATATAATAAAATTATTAATATGTAAGTTCTACCGCTAGGCGTTTCTGCCTTCTAGGTATCTCATGCGGACTGATGTGTATTTGTCAACGTTAGTTACATGACGTCATCAATATTTGCATAGTAAACATTTGTATTGACGTCATCAATAAACAATCATAGTGACGTCACAAACAATTCCAGTGCAAACAAAACATCTACATACAGTACATTGTAAAAAATCACTGTGCATTCAAGCTGGGTTTGAGGGCTTTTATAAACATTTTTTCTTTAAATTCTCTCGAAACTATAGCATCGCTATTCAGTTTGTAAATAAGTCACACATAAAAATCATATTTAGAACATTGATGCATATGTTTGCTTACTAATATATATAACTCAATATACATACACGTTGATGTCCTTAGTTATCAAATAAAACCCTTACAGACAACAATCAACGGGAGATTTAAACAGCAAACCATCTCACTATCTCTCTCGAGAACGTACATGTGCAATTTGACAATTATCCCTTCAGTACTTTTTGAAATAGTGCTAGCTAACAGTAGTTGTCTAAGGACGAACAGAACATGGTACATTAAATGATATATTCAGAACTATTTTATTAACATTGTGATAAATTTCACAGCAAAGAATTGTTTTTCAATTGTGAGAAAGATAAAGAAACCGTACTCCGAAATTGTACTTGAATGATGAGAATGCACCAATGAAATACTTAAGATTGTCTTTAATGGGTTTTTTTTAATACCGAAGGAGAATAAGAAACTTGATATCTAAAGGAAGGGAAAACCGCGAATAAATATATATATATACAAATTATACAATCCGCCTGAAGAAGCCCTAGAAGGCAGAAAGGCCTAGCGGACGATCTGAAAAATTTATGTTTTTATTCTATATTTTCCTTCGCAAGGACTTATTTATTTATTATCTACTATATAAAAATTATATATATGTACAAAATGACAATAGTCTAACATTACTACCTTTTCGCTGCGTTGTGATTTAAATACAAAGGAAGATTAAAAAGCTGCACTAGCTGATGGTATTTCAAAAAATCAAGAGAAGCTGGTATAAAAATAGTATTTAACTACAGTAGCTGAATATGCAACTGTAAAAAAGACGCATTACATTCAAACTATTATTTATTTCACTGTTTTTATTAACACGAAGCTGCATCGTGCAATTGCATTTAACAAGATAAAGATAAAACTACGAAAAGGCGTAATACAAATGATTTGTTACGTTATATTTATTTCATGGCAAAATCAAGTTATCCAAAAACATGAGAAATCTGCAAAATATGACATGCTTTCACACAATAATATATTTACACCACAAATATTTTCTTTTTCAATACAGAGCACGAATACTGCATACGCTGTTATGATACACGTATACTTGATTATTTCTTGCAATCCCATTGGGCGGATCCTATACACGTGACCAGTCTTCAAAACCCATGTAGACCGGTTATCCGGTATATATAGCCTATATAGATATTCCCTTCAACCTGTCGTAACGCATGCGCAGTTGGACCCGAACGCAATCTTTAATACAACGGAAAATTTCTGCTGACGAACGCTCCGCGAAAAATTGAAGAATATAATATGGGCTTTTGTGCTGGTAAATATGATTTGATATGAATCTGGAAAAAGTGATATTAACCGAGGCGAATCACTCGAAAATAGTATTTAACTTGCGGCAGATTAAACTGAACTAAAATTAAAATAGATGCTCATTACCAACATATTTCACTCGGGATATTATTTTCAATGTAACAAGATTAAACGGCTGCAATCGGAAACAGTAATTTACAAAATATGACATCACAGATTCACATTCGTGCGATCTATAACCTTATTATTTCATTACGGGATTTTTTTTTTATAAATAGGAATACTTAAAATTGCAAACAAATATGGTATCTTACAAGAGAAAGAAAACTGCTAAATGGCATATCAGATACCAATTATAACGAATTTGTACTATTGATATTTTTTTATTTCAATACAGAGGAAGAAGTAAAACAGCACTCAAGCATGGTACTTTACAAGATAAAAGACAACCTCCAAATAAAATAAATGGAATTACATAATTATTTCACTGCAGAACCGTTAGTTTAAAACAGAGAAAGACCTGGAACTCTCTTAACTTAAACGATATTTTCACTGTTGAAAAAACACACACACATAAAAACAATGACATGTTAGTTTTAGATTATTACTTGGACTTATTGCAGTGTTGTTGGTTTTGTAAACAGAACGGAAGATTAGGAAGAGTCATCCCGATGTTTTGAACACATACTGAAACTGAAAAATTCTTTTGCGAGCTTTCGAAAACGTCTGTTTCCTTTATCAAGCAAAAAGTGCAAATGACCGATGTCTCGACTTTAAACCGCTGAAAACATCTCACTAAGCCTTAGTGGACCAGATCGAGAAAAGTCAGATGTCAAAATCATAGAGCCGTTTCGCCCAATTGCACTCTAATACTGCAGGCAGTCAGGGGAAGGGTAATATGTTTACCACGGGTAACAGGTTTACCTATTCCGCCGATTATTTTACAAAACCAGGGAAAACAAGCAAAAAATGCATACTTTCACATTGTTATTTAGTT